AACCATATCTTAGGACAAGAATAGGAAGAAATTAATAAAAAACAGTTTCCATTTGAAACCTGTATGATCTAGAAGGTTCTTCCTACCCCAGAGACAAACTTCTCTGCTACAGTAAAACTGAAGACTAAACCATGGAAAACATGATTATTTACAGATTAAATTTCCTGACTACATTGCACATTTATGCACAGAAACCATGCAATATCCTACACAGTTTATTGCTATTTGTCTTACTGTAGCATTCTGCTGTAGTACCTTCGTAGTTATTGCAAAGAAAACTAAAAGTGGTTAAAAGCAGTGAAAAAAAAAATTCATCACATTCCACTAGTTAAAGAGAAGACTTGTCTATTCCTAGCAATGCATATATCATCATCTAAATTATCACTAAATTTCATGTATATTAAGCATAAGCAGTTTTAAAGCTTTATCAGTAATGTGTTCTGTACATCAAAGTACCAAATTAAYTGTGGAGTGTTGCTTTGTTCTTATCTTATTTCTTTGCATAAGCTCGTGTTTGCTCTCCACATTGATGTAAAACTACAGCCAAGTAACAAGATGCAAACAGGCAGGATATGCTCTCATTCTATCTGGTTTATAAACACTCCGCTGGGCRTTCCATTGTGAGCTCCATGGGAACATTTCAAATTCTCCTTTTATTGAAACAATGACAATCTGATTYMACAATTCTAAATCAATTTGGCTTTSAAASKTATAAGAACAAGAACTGTCTTCRAGGTATCACATTTTATTATAATTATTGGTTAGATATCTGAACCTCAGAAATGCAATAGCTCTGCTACATAAAGTGAAAATCAAGAATTAACTGTGACAGTCAAAGCCTGAGGGATACTATAACCAAAACTCTGTCTGAAACCACTGATTGGGCACATGATTTTAAAGGAATGCCCTTTCCTGTGCAACTGCCCTGACAGATTAGAATTCAGCAGGAAGTTTCTAGGAACATTTTAAGCCTAACAAGGAGGTTACATGTTCACCTCCACTGTCTACTTCAAAAAGTTCTCTCTTCAAAATGGTTGCAGCCATGCACAGCTAGAAAAAGACACACCTTCTTCCGTGGCTGTTTCCTGATTCTAGCTCAATTTCCTGATTTCTTGCCATGACACCTCACAAAGCTGCAAGAGTATTCTAAATGTGTCAGAAAAAAAAAAAACCAAAAAAACCCAAAACAACCCAAACTGAAGAATACATTTGCTATTTTGATTAACAAATATGTTTGGACTTTCCTTTGCAGTAATTTGAAAAGCAAGATGACCTGACTAAAAATTCCAACCACAATTCTAAACATACACAAACGCTGGCCTGCTGGAAACACATCATAAATCATAAATTATGGCACTGCTAACCCTGCCTTTGGTTTCTTTGTGTCAAGAAAACTCGGCGTAAACGAGTGTACTGGTGTTATTTCCCTGGCTAGCGTGCCAGACAATGTAGATACCATTACAGAAAGCTCTAACTCACTAAAGCTTRGCTTTTTACCAAATTCAAGAAGCAAAATCAACGGCAAATGAACGGGCACCAAGAAGCTGTTCTGAGTAGGAGGGACCAGCTCTCTAACTTCTGCTTAGGGGTAATTTTATATTTCAGGCAACACCTTATAACCATCCTTCCCTGAAACTAGAGGTAAGAGTGTAAAATCTTATTCTACACTTCCTCCTCCCATCCTCTTGATCACATCTTTATTGATTAAAGAAACATTCATGGTTGTTATAATTTTTTTTTTTTTAAGCATTGGCTGCTGGGGCATTAAGAATCAATGCACTTGGTCCAAGTACTGGATTCAAGGTTGTAACTGAATTTATCTGTGAGATGTACCGTGATTGAATTTTCCATTTATGRGGTTCTTCCTTTCCCCTGCATAAATGAGCATGTTATCATTTGGCTGCCTTGAGATTTGCCTGCAAAGTGGAAGAGCACAAGCAAGAGAAACACGCTCAAAGAACGAGAAACTTCTATTAAAGGGTATGTTTAACTATGCAGTGAACAAGACAATTTACAGGTTTCAGAAAGTTGCAAAGAGCATTCCAGTTCAGATTCCTGATAATGGGGCTTGATCTGATGGGCTGWGATACTTCTCCCCAAGCTCTGTGATGCTGCCTCCTAACCCAGACTGTGAGGAAGCATCTCCAATGATTTGCATCTCTTTATCCTTGCCAATGTGAGTTTGAGTTTAATCATCAGGACACAGATACTGCTTTTTTTGCTCTGAGAAGAAAGGTAATTTCAAGTTCCCAGCCTAAGGCATGCAGAAGTGGCTAGTAATTTTGAGAGCCCTTTCTAAACTATATAAAGAATTAGCACATGCCTGCAGCACTGATTCAGGTTCTCTTTAAGACACTGCAAACTGAAATTCCACCAAAGAAAACATCCAGAGTTTGGATTGACTGAAAAGTCTTGATCTCTTTTATGGCACTGATAAATATGGTAAATTGTGGTGCATAGAAACAATACACAAGGCGCAGATCTCCTTGCTTTAGGATGTCGTGTAAGCTGAATATTTATATAGAATCAATTTTAATTTGGAAAAAAAATCAAAGAGGAAAATTGAAAGAGGACTCTTAAAAAAAAATCTGTCTGAGGAAGCCTCTGAGCTGCAGATTACTGAGAGCTGGGAGAGTAGCATTGTCATTATGTCTGGCCCATTTTCACTGCTTTCCTGGGTAGCTTTTGTTGGTCACCACTGAAGACAGGATGCACTAAACTGACTTTTGGGYTGATTTAGTGAAGTTGCTCCTGTCAGCAATACATGGTAGACCAAGACCAGCTCTAATTAATTTTCCTTACCCACAGTTTGATAGTGATGGTAACACAAGTCCTTAAAATAGACATGAATATATGAAGTGCATTTATTTTATATTCTGCTCATGTTTTATATRAACTTAAATCTTTCAGCCGTGTCTCAGCAATCACAAGAAATCAGAGAGCTGTTTCGYGGATGATAGAAGCAAGGAACTGAGTTGATGAGTTGTCAATGCCAAACATAAAACAGGACAGAGTTGAATGAATGTTCAAAACCAGCTCAGTTAAAGAGCCTATGATCCAAAGTCAGTGAAGATAAGGGGGAAGYCAGGTTGGACCCTATCCAGTGCTACTGTGTTTTTCAAAATAAAATGATAGAAATCTGAGAAATAGAGAACTAAAAGAAGAAATCTCAGAAATCCATTTATATGGAAAGTACTCCTCTCCTTCAACCTACTCTGTCAATTTGCATATCCATGTCTCTCAGCAGTTAAATCAGTGACCCAGACTTTTTGAAACTAGGCATCTTTAAAGAAAAGTAATCTCTCTGTTTCTGAAGGTTAGCTTCCCAGTTGTGCGTGCACCTACAAAATAATTTGGATATGAGGACAGATTTTTTTTTTCTTAAAAGGGTTTATTCTGTGATCCAGAACTTCTTTCTGCAGTGTTGYCATGAAGCAAAAATCCTGGATTGATATTATCTTCGGTGAGAAAGCAACTAAAGGGACATGCCATAGAAGATCCTGATCAGGAGAGAAGTACTTGTTCTCTGGCATAACTGCAGGTGCCAGCCACTCCCAGTGGTGGCCTAAGAGAGACAAACTGATGACATTATCCCCTCTGTCCATGGCAACAATCTTTGTGGCAGTCAAGAATGTGCAATCTCTACACTGCTCGCGATGCGCACTGAGAGGCTCAGGGACAAAGTCACATGAAATACTCTCTGAAGCACCTGAAAGGATTGATATGCTGCACCACATCCTTGTGCAGAGCTGCACCTTCAAAGAACAATCAAGCTCTTCACTTGCAGAAATGCCACCCAGACACAGAAACAAAAGAAGGTAAAAGGTTTGATTTAAAAGCCYGGCATGCTCTGACAAACCCTATCAAAATCTTTTACTACTCTGAAGTTTGGAAGACAATACACTGTACACCCCTTTTTACATGGATCTTTTATAAATCAGAATTGAATCCAAATAATTTAATAATGGTAAATAACAATATTATGCTCCAGAATCTAATCTTGCAATATCATTGCTTCCACTATTTCCACTATGCACTGCTAAAGATAGAAACCCGGAATACGAGTATTCTTAGGAAATTGCATCCGGGGGAAATAASAGACAATAATCAGTTTTAGATTATAAAATAACTATTTTTAATATCATGGAGGTAAGTATATCAAGTCACAGTATATTTCTCAATCAAAGCTTCAGAGGTGGTTTGTTTTTTTTCTAGAAGTACAACATGAAACTGAGATTGCAAAGATGGTGCAGCTTGTGCTTACACAAGACAAGCAAGGGCTTGATGAAACAAATTTGCTCAAGCATTTCATCTGCATGTGTAATGTTTTTACAGGTCACTGAATGCAAAATACCTCCCAAGGTTTTGGAGGGAAGGTAACTGCTGACACAGATTCTGTCCCCTGACATCTCTGTTACATCATGGGTAGGGCTATCTCCAGCATCAAGAAAGTCTCCTGGCAAACAATCAACTCCCAGGGTAAGTAGTGGGGGTGAAACTTAAGGCACCACAACAGAATTAATTCAACTGACTTCAAAGTTTCATCCAGGCTACTGCAGAATGATAGGGTACACGTGGGACTTTATGTATTTACATAGATTATTGTACAATTTAGAGACACATTTCAGTCCTCCATATCTCCCATTAGTCATCTCATGTCTGTACAGCAGTGTGAACTTAGGGAGTGCTATGTAAGTGAGAAGCATTTGACTGATCACCTGTTACCACAAAACACCTGAATCTGTTCTAGAGAACGAAATACTCTTTTCATTATCCTGAGAAATAKAAAACCACCTAAGCCAAGAAGACACAGGTTGCACACTCAACTCAAGGTCGTCACAGGAGTTGCAACTCTATTCTCACTTTGACACAGTGCAAAACAGAAGCACAGCTGGTGAACCAAAGCTTGATACTACACTGAGCAAACTGAAGTGCTGAATTTACCAGCATGTGATCATTCTGTTTATTGTTACTCTCCTACTTGGTTATTTTTGCCTTACCTGAAAGTCAGCAGCCCAAGTGCCTCTAGAGGGTTAGAAAATCTCCAACTCCTCAGCAAGGCATACATTTCTGACACGGTGGTGTGATCCCAACTGGGGGCACTGCCCAGCACCAGAGGAAGGGAGCAGTTTTGATTATTGCAGAAGTAGCGATAAAACCATAAGATTCTTCTCTGTTGCTCTGAGAGTCTGGAAAAGAAGATTAGAAATTCAGTTTGAAATTAAAACCACCTGAAGCTTTGTGTAGCAACAAACTTTATTGTACAGAGGGGTCAAGTCACACAGTACACTGCTCTTCTGCTAAGTACATGTTTTCCTTGGGGTAGGATATCATTTTCTGCAGTCCAGCTTTTATAAGAAAAGTGATACTTATACTCTGGATCTGYCAGCCTTAGGTCACATAAAAATGAAGTGTCAAAAGACACACATATATATGATTATTTCACATTCCAAGCACTCTAAATTTTCTTCTCTGCTGCCTCTATTGTTGGTGTTTGTTTTTACTGGTTGGGCTTTTTTTTGACAAAGAAGCTGCAGTTGTCACTGGGTTAATTATTGTTACATCTATCGGCTACATATCATCTCTAATCAAAGCTAGACACACAACACTGCAAGTCATAGCTTTCATTCCTGCCCTTGCTTTGACTCTTTAATGCAGGTGTGTCTGTTTTTAACATCTTTGTTTTTAAAATAATGTTCAGGCACATCTGTGAACATACACAAAAACATGAGCACAGGCACATACACGCCAAATGTGATTACCCCTAGTGATGATACAAATTTGGAAAAGGGAAGAAAAACTCCCAGCAACTTCTATACCTGTTTGAAAGTCTTGCTTGCCATGATTTGCTGTACTCACAAGAAAAAAAAAAAAAAAAAAAAAAAAANAAAAAAAAAAAAAAAAAAAAAAAAAAAGGATGCAATATACCAGATTCCTCACAGAGATATTAGATATCTAAATGTCATATTGATTAAATGGTCAGTCATCACACCATATCTCAACACAGTGAGAAATGCCTGAGAATAATTTCTGCCTTATATAATCTGATTTGTCAACAATTCAGATGTCTGCCTCATGCATATTAAATCTCAGGTTTTGACACATCAGAAAACAAGAAAATAAATTTCCCTGGAGACAAGCTCAGACAATCTCCTTAATTTGATATCAGAGCCTTCAAAAGCAAGCTCTGAAAGTGAAAACCGATCCCCAGTTTATACAAATAATTACTGAAATCAAGAAGAACATTGGTTTTCTTGGTCATAGACAATGATTCATCTCTTTAAGAGCATAACACAACTGGAACTTTAAACAGACCTAAATATTTCAGAATGAGGCGTGAGGAATCTTGTAGAAGGCAGTAAGTAAATAGTTTGCTTCTAGACAAGCATTTAATTATCCAGATGTGTAAACAGGGCTCAAAATCCAAGTGTTTACATTCTTTTCAAGGTTGTCTTCCTTCTATTTGCAATGTTTTGGGACATTCTTAGCCAAAAAAAATTTTAGCCCCACTCTGACTGTCAAGACTGTGTCATTCACAACTCATACAATTGAGTTCCTTTGTCTCTGTAGGCACTAGAGAACTTTTCTCCTTTGCAATTTTGAATTGCCAAGTATTTAGGAACAGAGAGAAGCAGCACAAAGTTGGGCATGTTTTTTCCTGAGGGAATGTTAATTTCTTCCCTTTAGGAGAATAAGCTCATAAAAGTATGCAGAAGATGAACTTAACTGTGATACCCATCCTGACTTTAAGTAATCATTTCAGGAAAAGTATCATTTTGGTAATGACTTCAAGAAACAACTTCAGGATTGATAGCATGTCTTCTGTGACATTAGACAGATGCCTTTGTGATCGTGTGAAAAAGTCACACAAAGTAAGAGAGATAAAAGTAGGCCTAAAACTTGACTGCTTGTCTGGTTATTTTATGCACTTGGATGACATTCTGCAGGACAGTTCAGCTAAGGCACCTCTTTTATGTGTTAACTTTAAGCAGAGATTTCAGCTTTCAAACAGCATCCTCCAAACTAGACAATCTTTTGTTCAGATTAAAGCAGCTAAAGCTTCTACTGAGCTTGCAAAGGGAGATAAGATATCAATCCTTGTATCATGTTTTCTAGAAAACAGATTTCTCCCTCTGACTTTACTCAGAGSCAATGCCATTTTCTCTTTCTGTGCTTTAAAGATCAGAGATGAAATTAAAGGGTGGGTGGGGTGGGAGTTTTTACATTTTGATCTTGAATTTCTCAGTTGCAACAAAAGTTTTAAGATGATAAAAATGTTATGCATACATATAGGATCTGAATTTTTCAAGCAAATAAAGGCAAACAATTTATTTGTCTCAATAGGGATAAAATCATAATTAAACCTCTTTCTTAATAAAAATTAAGTTTATGGGGTTTTTTTAGGTAGAGTTGTATCTAAATTTCCTTCCATATGAGGTCCATATTAAAATATGCAGCCTTCTGCTTAACCCAAATAAAACCAAAATACCATAAAACCTAAGTAATTCGGTARTTTTATGCCTAGGTTTTAATTAATTCCCTTAGTTAAATGAAGAAAACAGCTTCTCTGAAGGCTTTGTTAGTATAAATTGTTTCTTTTTTGGTGAGAGGGGGAAAACAGTGAAAGTTTAAATGATTCTGAGCTACTTTTGTTGTTCATGTTCAGCACTAAAGGAGAACAAGGCAAAAGGCAAAAAGAGGAGAGAAYAGCAAAGATCAAAAATTCAAATTTCTGTCCTCCAGCACTGTTTTTCACTTTCAAGTTTCTCTTCCATGGACAGACTAGAAAAKACCTCTTCCACTATTCACTCAGAAGGAAGCAGACTTTCTAATCACAGCACATCACAACAGCAATCTTGTGACCACTGGTGGGCAAAGTAGATTCTTACCAGCTAAGGGTCAAAAAGGMAAAGGGAAGCTGGAAGGAAGGAAAATGATGAATGAAGGAAATAAAGATGTCAGAAACCACACTGTCATGTTCCTGGCTTCAAACCAGCCTCCCATCCTTTCACTGGGACGCGCTGTGTGCAAGCAGGCTGTATCAGATTCAAAGAGCAACCTTTATATCAGAAGCTGAGTTTTCTGGGGTTTGTWTTTCAAACACAGTAATCCTAAAAGGAATCAGAGGCTCAACATCCAATAGATGTTTTCAGAAGTCAGCCGAAGCAGCTGGCAGTAACTAATTCTCCTCTTGGCTCTCTTGTCTGGTTCAGCGATGACACCAAAGATCAGAGTGTAGGGCTGTGAGGAGCACAAGAACCATGTGGGGAAGTTAATTTCCTTCAGTTCCACTGAACAACATCTTCATTAATCAACATCCAAGAGATGTTGGTGATGGGGATCAGCGATCTGAGCCGCCTACCAGAGAGACAAGAGTCTGAGCTGCTGGGAAGACTGGAGCAGATACACATCCATGTAACAGGAAGAGCCCCAAGCACCAGCAWCCAAACCAGTGCAGTTGTGAACTCTAGGGGTTTTTATGTCTGGGTGTCAGCAGCTGGGGAGAGCAGGGACATCTGGGCCCAGCTACTCAGCAGACTAAGCACAACTTCCAGAACAATCCATTATTTGATACTATTTATAAAAATCCATATGTATGCTCCTCTATTCCACCAGCAGACTTGGATCCTGGTCATGCAGAGAGCAAGAATAGAAACAGTCCGTGCTCTCAGTTTGGGGACGGTGTTGCATTTATAACACTACTGGATTCAACAACCTGTAAGAAAAACAACTATGCAGCTGTCTGATTTTAACCAATGTTTCTTTCTTTTTTATCATTGTGTTAAGAACATTTTCTGTCCATTCACATATTCTCTCTCTTTCAAAAGAAAGAACAGAAGGATCCTGACAGCCTGAGAAAGGCTTCTTGTGTCTTCTGACCACAGACACCCACTTATTTCAAAGTCTTATTTGAGGCTTGTAAGCCTGAAGCATCACCACACAGCCATATTGCCACTAAAAAGCTGCCTAGATTCCTCTCTTTTTCTTGACCTATGGGGAAAAAAAAGGGAAGACATCTTCAGCTATCATGGCAGTAATATGTTTAGATACCAATGTGTTACAATTTTTTGAAGAAAATATCTCATGAATGAGGAAGGTAAAAAGAATTCTTCTGATTCAGATAAACAAAAGTTACAGGCTAACAGATTCCTCTGGATTACRAAGTACTAAAAGATGGAATTGTTTCATTCAAACCTCAAGTACATTAACTTTCACCTTGATTATTCATTTGTTAGACCAGCTTTGCCTGTAAGACAGGATAACAGAAAACAACAAACTGTGGGAAAGCATGGGACTACCATTCTCTTTCCTCCAAGGACCTGCTACTGAACTTACCACAGCCTTAACTCTGATCTGGTGTCTTTCAGTGGTCTCTTCCCTCCATATTCCCACAGAACYCAAAATTGTTGTATTGAGGATATTATAGGATCCACCCTTGCCTGATCTTTTGTAATACCTGTTGATGAACCTGTTATCCATGAATTTGTGTTCAACCTTCATGAATGTGATGAGGCTGTCTGCCTTCACAGCTTTGTGAAGATTTTAAAAGCTCACCACTGACTGTCTAAAGAAGTACTTTATTCTATTTATCGATAATTGATTTCCTATTTGTTTCATTGATTGTCCCTAAGTTCTGATACTGTGGGATTTGATGAGGCATTTACCTTGCCTATCACCATCATGACTTTACAACAACTWATTGCACATACACAGAAATTCTCTTCTTTCCAAACTATAGAGTCTCAGTCTTTTTACCTCCTCTTGGTCAAAGAGCTGCTTAATCCCTTTCATGATATTTGCTGCCCTTCTCYGCACATTTTTCACATCTACYGTRTCCTTCCTGAGTCYTGAAGACAGGAACCATGCAGCATTCTCAATAAAATGGACATCAAGGTTTTAAGCAGCACAGAAATAGCACACACTGTCTTCTTTGACAAATTACTTTGTACTTAGCTATTTTCTTAATGATTTTATTCCTTCTTACCGAAACCACCATTTTGCCATGGTAACAGAGGACACAGGCATTGGATTTGAAGCTCCCTAATTCATTCTGAAGCATATTTTGCAGGTGGAAATTTTGCTRGCACTGTGCCTATTCACAATAAAATACTGACATACCATTCACATWTTAAAATAAAATAACCACAAATTACAGTTCCCATGCTTAATAAGAATAATTTTACATTTCATCTGTCTTGGTAAAAGTTGAGTTAAACATCAAATACAACAGMAAATTTATCWCTTGCTTTTTWWWAAAAATAAATTGATTTTTAAAAAAACTCTCAAACCATCAGCATAGAAATCAGCAGAAAAATCTCTTCTTAGCAGATACACCCTAACCTACTGAGAGTGCTGAATTAAGTTACTTGGTTATTGCACAACTAATGCATCTTTTGACCTTTAATGGAGGATTAATTCACACAATTAACTGCCATTAGTATAATGTCTCTYCGTAAGCACCTGYRTTCCAAATTCCACTCTGATTATACYCAAAATTATTTTATCCAGTACATAATCCTAATTGATAGTACAACATTCATATAGCTGAGYATACTAATCTGCCTCAGTTCAGTGTGCTTTGTTTCACTTTGTCCACCTTCCGTGAAAGCTGAACTTTCCATACTTCTTTGCTTGCTTATAACTTAAAACAGATTTTTCAAAAGCCATTTAATTGCTACATCTGAAGTCTGAGTGTTTAATAATCAAAGGAGGCTGATTTCCATAGAACCTAAAGGTTTTCTTGCTGATACTGATACAGATGTAGTGCATCACCTGAAAATCTTATATTTTGAACCAAAAATTAGTTTCTTGCCTCAAAGACATGAAAAGATATAGTAACAGAAAGGGAAAAACAATCCTTTTCTAAATTGGTAAAATACACTGCCACCTCCAGGGCCTCATTAGGCTTTGCTGTGATCTATGCTTTCATTTAGAGATGTTACTTCTCAACTCAGTCAAGATAGGCTCCTTCAGAGGAAAATTCTGTTTTTAACAAATTGGATACATTTAATTGTGATCGATAGGATAAGTATAGCRCAGCAAGAATCAGCAGGGCTAGGTGGGGACAACTTACAGCAAGAGAGAACGTATCTGTGAAAGTCTTGCAATGTGCTTCAGGCACTCCTGGGATGGCTCTACAAGATCACCTCTTCTTTCTTCAGGTTCAGGTTTAATGAACTCCAAATCAGTTTCTGGAAAGTCGATCTTTATTTAGGAAAAAAAAAATAAAAGAAGAAAAGAAAGAAAAAACAGACAAGAAGAGCTTTTAGCAAAGTATAATCTCAGATACTAGTGTTAATACATGCTATCTTGGATTTGTACAGGGAGTATACAAAGTACATCAGAGAGAAGATGGATAATTATTTTGAGGATATTCACTCTATAAAATATGTTACTTAAATGTTTTGGTGACAAATTCCATCCACAGAATCAGTGGGGGCAACTTTCCTGGGAGAAYTTCATCCAACATATTTCAGTTTTAATTGAACTGCATGAACTCAAAATTGAAGCAATATTTTACTTTTTGCCTCCTTTTTTTTTTTTTTAATGAGATGGCTCTCAAATGGAAAACTTTCATTAATAGAGATTTGTTTTGGTTTTTGAAAAGTAAGGATTTTTCTGATGTGTAGTTTGTCACTAAGAGATGGAAATCAGAATCCTGAATTCACTTCTGGATGTTCATTTCATAAATATATTGTACAGCATCTACCAATTTTCTATTCTTTCACATGCCTGTCACAAATTTAGGGTAACATTTTTTAAGATACAGACAAAGTAAACATTCAACCAAAACTACAGCACCTGAGTTACTTGATAATCTGAGTAGACTTATTTGAAAATTCAGATTGTTCTTCAAAATTCAGCTCAATTTGCATCCTGCTTTGGTTTATTAAAAAACACCAAAATGTCTTATTGAAATCTACTTTTTAATACCAGTATTTGATATGCATCTCTCTTCTAAAGATTAACAAAGTTATTCCCTACAAAACAGTCACATCACAAAACTAGATGATCTTTAAATYCCTTCCAACCCAAGCCTAGATTTTCTAYGAAAATCTATATTTATAACATTTCCAGCATGTTCACAAATCGTGATACTGCCACATGGCTGGGAATAACCGAAAAGGGGGGGAGGGATGAGAGAACTTGTTCCATTTCTTTCAGTAGACATTATAAATTAATAGCCATTTACTGTCTCAGCTTCTTTTTATTATTAATATAGGGAGTTATTTTAAGGCATGGTCTTTGACTGAACTCCTCAGCCTGGAAAATCCCCATTTGCTTGTCTGCTAAAACAAGGCTATWTATAGGCCAGGCTCATTTATCTGTATTATCTGCTTTTGCATTTCATTTGCTAWCAGTTATTCAGATTTTAAACACAGCAAACAATTGGCTTTGTCCTTGAAATACCCAGTTGCTAAATTAACCTGAAAAGGTGACAAAAGTACCACACAGATTTGATGTATTTCTTTGAGGGGCTATAATGGAAATATGATTTTGAGTTTGTGTAGTCTCAGTGAGCTGTGGGAACATCCTTTTTTTCTTGYACTTTGTTAGAAAACAAGCCTTTGCTTTGCTTTCTCGCTTTCTCACCTGCAGTGTGACCGAGGTTGGTGTCTCAGTGCTGCAGATGCCTGGGGTGATCATTGGTGTGGGGAGTGYGCTGTACGGTGCCATGCTGAGCAGCACAGTTCCGTGGATGAGCCTCCTGCAAGAAACACAGACAGAAACACTGCACTGGTAACAGGCTTTACTGAAATCCCATCAAAGAACATGGAACTGCAGAGCTTAAAAGGAGAGCAAATCTTTCATCTTTATGTGACTAGTACAGATCTGGCCTCAACCAGAAGARGTTGCATGCTGATGGCCTCACTGCCATAGCAGTATCTCTGCTCTTGTAGGGTTCATGAAAAAAAGTCTGCCAAGATATTCTGAGTCAGTTCTGCACTTTACCACTGTCTTCTCCTGTGACAGAGGCTGCTGACCTTTAATCCACGTGTATAATACAATATTTCTATCTCAAGATTTAATTTTGAGGACAAATATGGTAGAGATGGAAGCATCAACACACGATAAAAGGCAGAGGGCAGTGTACTTATACCACAAAAATGAGAAACTTGTGGCTATCTACTGCATCCATAAGGGATTCTTGCTGATTTTTTGTGTAGATGGCAAGGGGTATGGTATCAGAGTCTACAAAGAGCTGAAAGAAGTTTGAGTGGGAGAGTTTGTACCACATGTGCCACATACAGTTTTTAGACAGATGAAAGGTTATGGTCTGAAATACTAGTCTGAGCACTACACCTACAAGCAAGTCTTATCAGAAAAACAGGCATGCATGTGGCCTGCAGATAAGAAACCCAGCATGATTTGGCGGTCAACACCATTCAGTCTAGAAAACTCAAAGAAAGTTTGGGTGTAAATTCCAAGCATAACAAATAGACTCAAATTAAGAATACAGTATAATGTATTGCCCCTTAATATAGCCGTATCTTAATGATTAAAGAGGTCAGAAATTTGATTATGTTCAGYACCTCTTCTTTTACTGACAAATAAATTTTATTAAGATCTTTTTAAACACTGTTCAGTCAAAACAACTGAGAGAATGCACTAGATACTCTTCTGCCCACTGCAGCAGAAAGAGGCAGCCAGGTAAACGAGGTCTGAATGCCTGCCTTTTATCTGAGAGGAATGTGTTGGAGGTACAAGACATACCAGATGGACTATTTGATCCCAGCATGAGTTTGCAGGTTGCTGYAAAGAAAGTGCCTTTTGAATTGAAAACAGAAATAAGTTGCTTAAAGTCATCTGAAGAAGATCTAAAAAACTCCCACAAAGTGACTGTTATAGTCAACATCAATGAGTATAAACCTAATTCAGGACTAATTTTTCTTTTTCACTTCTCCAGCTGCTTGTGTTGTTAGCATAGACATTTTATTTTATTGGGGGAACACAGCTCAGGAGGATTAAAGACAGCTATTTTCTGAAGTTTCTTTCGCAGCTGTAGGTGCAATTGCAGGGGAATGGAGCCAGAAAAAAGATGTGATATGAACAACATAGCACTTGGAGGAAAGCAATTGTGTGATATGAAGTCTCTCTCATTTAGGTAATTGATGTGAATCAGGAAGTGATCAATGGTGACTCAAAGTGGTTCTTGTGTGATGTGTACTCAAATGACCTTTAATAAATGAGTTGCATCTCTTCAACCAATCCTTTGTTGACAAAGATTTACATCATAATTTGAACTAATTGGCACTTTTGTTAGATGGGAAAGGGKTAGCTGAGAATAAATGAACATGAAGACTAAATTACCCTTTTGAGGTCTCATTACTGCTAATCACTTTCATATTGTGCTCTAAAACTATGGGGACCCTTAAAAAAGAGTACATAGAGTGGATTCCTTTTCCTGGGAAATCTGTGTAAACAAATACAAGAAGTAGCACAGACCTCAAAGGTACTGTAAATGTAAATTTCCTGAACTCATTATTTCAACTCATTTACACCTAGAATAGTTGTGGCTAAAGACTGTCCAAGAAGACAAGGATGAATCGGCAGATGGGCTTCTGAGAGCCCCCAGCTGGAGAAACAGCAAATAAAGCAACATGCCTACATGAGTTCACATGTTAAAGCAGGAAGGATTGCGAGGAAAAAGAAAGATTTAGGATACTCCAGTAGTTTGGAGATAACATTTCTGAATTTAAAACAAACTTGTTTTAAAAACTAAACATGTTTATGCTTTGCATATAGAGCAGCTGAATTTTTACCTCTACAAATTAGCGAGCAACTTAATATCTTCCATCAGTCTTTGGACTGAGGCTTGTCTGTAAACCCAGGAGGCATTTTTTAGAAGATGTGAAGGGGCTCTGTGGATGACAATGCATCATGCAGTGGAGGTTTTTGARGTACAGCTTTCCCCAGTGGCATGGTGTAACCCCAGCCAAGACCCACAGAGGCACTCGCTCTCTCCCCCACCAGCTGCATCAGGGAGAGAATGGGAAGGGTGAAAGGTAGAAAACTTGAGGGTTGAGATAAAGASAATTTCATACAGAAATCAGAAGTCATACACACAAGCAAAGCAAAACAAGGCATGAATTCACTGCTTCCCATAGGCAGGCAGTGTTCAGCCATGCCCAGGAGAGCAAAGCCCCATGAAATGCAAYAGTGACTTGGGAAGACAAATGCCACCACTCTGAATGTCTCCACTCTTTCTCCTTTATTCCCCCCCCCTCCCCCCCATATACTGAGAATGTTGTCACATGGCCTGGACTATCCCTCTGGTCACTTTGGGTCACCTGTGCTGGCCATGTCTCCTCCCAGCCTCACAGGAACCCCCGATTTCCTCACCAGTGCAGCAGCGTGAAAAGCAGAAAAGGCCTTGGCTCTGTGTGASCCCTGCTCAGCAATAACAGAAACATCTCTACAGCATCAACACTGTGCTCAGTACAAATCCAAAACACAGTTCCCTGCCAGCCACTGGGACGAAAATTAATTCTACCCCAGTCCAAACCAGCAGACCTAGCAAACTTCAGGGCACTACATGCACTACCAGTCAACATTCCTCACAACAGTTGACTTTTGGACACAGAAATGGAACAATRACTGAGACCAAGTGAGTGAATGAAACAGTGAAAAGATCCTTCATGTTTTAGAAAAAGAAGCAGGTGGGAGTGCAGGATCCATTTAGCAAAAGAAGGAATTAGCATCATGTTTAGTGAGCAGAAGATTCTTCTCTCTTTTACTTGGTTCTGCTGATGAGTGAGCTCAGGCAGGTCACTCCCTATTCTGCCTACCATTCCAGTTTTTCCATCTGTGAGGTGAGGGTAATGACTTTTTAAAGACTCTATAATGATCACAGCCACAGAAATTGGCTTTCATGTAATAATGTCAGCATCAAGCAGATCACAAAGTGAATATACTGCTCTGTGCCTACTGCCATTTATTACTTTTGGAATTACATAGATTCTTTTCTCTTGTTTATTACTGGAGCTAAAATAAACTTCCTATCTTGTTACAGAAGAGGACATGGCTATTTAAAGGCAGCTCAAKTTATCCTAATTTAGCAAAGTCAACCTTATGCCCTGAAGTCACATGGCAGAATTCCCTCACCACACTCTGCAAGACGGAAGTTGTGCTGCTTACTCTGATTTAGAAATACCAGTTGAAAATACATTGTGGTGTTAGAGTCAGGGAAGCCAGAGCAATGGGAACTGTGGGGGACATTGCAACTCCAAATTGCCCCAAAATGATGGATTTCTGATTGTTARTTAGCTCTGAATCACTAAATTTTTCAGCCCAAGAGACAAACACAGTTTCTGATGTGAAGGAATGAAAGGTTGGCACACAAGCTTGCAAACACTTTTTGAAGTGCCTCTAGTAAGACTTTTTGGTACAGATGCACCATCAAAGGCTCTACTGGCACTTATTTAGGGTAACTGTCTAAAGTCAACTATCTGATAAGGCTGAGATAAGCAGATATGATTGTTCACCTACTGGACAAGTTGGCAGCTACACTCATTATCACCATGTTCATTCCCAAATGTTTATAACATCAGAGTTACTGCTTAGGCTGAATAAACTTGGAAAATTAGGACAAAGTACTGTGTAAAAATAAGGTAAGTACCCCAAACCTGACATTATAAGTGTCAGAAGTTAAAAGTTGAGGTCTAATTAAAAGGAAGAGTAAAGCTGCTAAAACATATTAAATACCCTGCTATATCTTATGACCCAAGCAATCTTAATTCTGCATTGGAAGGATACTGTGAAATAATGCCTATATTATAATTACAAATACTACAGAGTTCTAGAAAATTCAAAATAGAGACAATTTTCAACTGCAAAGTAGTCCTAAAAGTAGTGCAGACTTTGATATGAATTACGACTTCCCTCCCCACAATTTCTAGTTTAAATAACCTCCTTAAATTTGTAAGTGATAATTACATTGAGCACAAAGTTAACTGGTTATTCCAGATTTTGAAAAACATTTTGCAGCTATGTTCCTGATTATTTTATAATTTTTTTCTAGAAGTATAAAGTTACAAAGTTAGTTTAYAAGCAATGATTTCAGAGTAATCAGCTACATTTAGGTATCTCCTGAAGAATACTTTCAGGAAGTCAGTTTGATAAGAAGGAATCTCAGCACAATTGGCAAAGTGTATATCCAACAGCTAATCATGTTATAAATCTGCACACTGCAAGAAAAAACTGTCAGAAGAGTAAAAGATAAGACTGGAATTCAGGAAATAATTTAAATTAAACAAATTTGAAATCTGCTAAACATCTGTTCACTGACAAGTCTTTAGCATCAACAAAAATAGTAAAGTTGGCTAAATTCTTGAGGATGTTTGTAGGTATTTTGTGGTTTCAAAATGGGCTCGGTATAAAGAAGAGACTGCAATATAAAATAAAGAGTAATATGCTTTAAATAAATGGTTAGATATCTTTATATCAATATCTATATATATAGTTCTATAATTTGATTATTATTTTCTAGAGGAGAACTGGAGTGTCAGATTCTCAGAAAATAATGACAGCCCTCTGATCTGTCAAGAGAGTTTAGCATGATCTTGCCCAAAAGCATGAGAAATTTCACACTTCTTAAAACAGATAAAAAGAATTTTCATACATTAAAATAAATTATAAAAAKTTTAAGTTCAAATTAAACATAAGGAATTAAAATACAAAGAAGATATGTGACCATACAATGAAAATTACTTGGAAAGAGAAAGCAGGTATAAAATTTACAGAGAGGAGCAAATTCAGAGACTTTTAAATTAGCATTCTTTTGCCATAGGTCACCAAAAGACCAAGATTCCTAACTAATACCTGGGATTTTTTTTTCCCTTCTCTTTAATATAAGCCCAAACAAGTTTGAATATATTTTCTGTGGTTTTAATCAGAGGATGATATAGTGGGACAGAAAACGAAGAACTGCATTTCAGGAAATGTTTGATATTTATTTTCTTTTTCCAATGTTTAACAAAACTATTTTTTTTCTGCAAGCATCTGAATAGAGAAAGAGGGGCCACATTCTGGTTTTATCTTTACTGACCCTGAGAAGAGACCAACTGAGACAAGGATTTGAACCAGGATGTTTGATGACCCAGGCAAATACCTCAGGGCAGCTGGCTTCTTCAAAGAGCTTATTTCTGTCCTTTCCCCAAGAAATTAAATCCTAGACATTAGAATGTTAAGACTTTTTTAGAACTCAAATCCACCACTGAGAAAGTTTTATTTTGAGAAAGTGGTATTTTCCAAGCTAGAAATGTTTTGTCAAAGATCTTCTGGTCAGATTTCTTTAATCTCTTTATACACATTTACAGCGTTTGTTATTTAAAAACCCTAATACCATAATCTCTGCAGTAATACAAGGTGCTCTTGACATATTAGCATGACGCTAGAGGTACAAATCTTTTCTTGCTACATGATTTCAAGTTCAGAAGTACTCCATTGAAGTAAGTCTCCAAGTTTCRTTGCATTCCAGGAGCAAGGGGAGTTTCAGGGCAATTCTTATTTTCAGACTAGTCAGTCTATCAATTGAAATCACAGGGAATGAATAATCTTATGGAGCTGTGGTTGGCCAAAGGAGGAAAAAGCATTTAGGCTTCTTTGTGGTAGTAATTACTGTAATTGTAAATGACACAGCTATCAGATTAGGGGGTGTTGAACAGGCTATTCCTAAATCATTTCTCTTTGACAACTCAACCTTGATTTCTGCTTTGAAGGGTCWTTTCAGCAGTGATCTCTACAATTACATAGCAAATGGAAGGAAAGCAGCCCTCTAGCCCCTTCATTGTGTTGATGGTGTGTTCCAGGAAAGAATGGAACCATTTTTCAGGAAAATTTTTGAAATTGTCTGGGTGGGGATTTATCTAATGAAAACCAACATGCTTGCTCTGCTGGCATACATGAAAAAATACATKTGACAGGGAGTTGAGGACTTTCAGACCTTCCAAAAGTCATTCCTTTTGAACTTGAATGCTGAAAAACAAGGAAACCTCCACAATAACACACGTTCTCTAGAGCAAAATTCTCATACAGGCACCTTTGGAGGTAAATGGGAGAAGTGTTCACTCATTAAGTTATCACACCTCTAACATAGTTCATGCTTCCTTTACAAATACACACACAATGGAAGAGTGAAGTGCTCTTCTTAAGACTAACTATGAAAGAAAAGCCATTGAATAAATTGCCCAAGCAATCCTTGGAGCAGAGATTTGATTTATGTTTCTTTCTTTCCTTCTAGCTAWGTGCTCTAAACACTAAGTCACAAAAGAGCAGAGTAACCTTGAATTTTCTCCAAAACTTGGGGGGTTTGAACRTATCCCTCTATTGCACAGAGGATATTGCAGGGCTATGGAGTCTAAATGAAAAGCCAGTATCAMTGCAAAGGCTCAATCTACATTCAGATGTTTCAGTGCCACTGAAATATATTTAGAGCACTGCAGAAAATTTACCTTTATTTTCTGTTTTTACATCACYGCAGAGACATTCAAACTACATGCACCTCTAAGCCACGGTTACATTGTGCACTGTATAAAGTGTTTAAAAAGGAGAAGAAAGCTTCTAAAGTGGTGTGGAGAGTGAAAAGTGCTCATTGTGGTCACCCCTAACTGTMCCAATTTAAGCAGAATGAATGTGTGTGAGAACAGAAGAAAAACACACTTAAAGAACAAGAAACAACCCCTATGACCAAGAAAGTGAAAGATTTTGTAAAGCTACAGGAAAGGGCCTTTCAACAGGCCTAGGGAACTTTATCCTAAGTGTTAAAGTCACCTAAGCCAAGCTCAAAAATAATGTATGGGAAAGAAAGACAGACCTGTGGATGGRGCTCTTACTGGCACATCAAAAGCAGTTTGCTGTAAGTCACACTCTCAGTCTTAGTAATTTTTTCTTTTTATATTTCTCCCAGGTAAAATGCAACACTATTAGAATAGTCTTAAGCTCTCATACAAAACTGAACTTACTCTTTTGCATACAATGGGGTGCATGCCCAAGCAAGCACTTCTGTGTTTTTAGTGGCACTGTTTACTCCCAATAGTTTTATTGTCAGCATAGTTTCCCTTGGAAGGGCCTTTATTCGTAGAGGGAAGTTGACCCTAAAAGAAAATCAGAAAAGAAAAAAAGAAAAGTTAAAAAATCTGAGCATTGTTACAAGTGAGTTCTTTCTACAGTTTTCTAGATGCCCTAACACATATATCAAGCTATAAATTACAGAAGTTACACTCTGAAGGAAAATGCAGCTCACAGATCTCTTCAATATGTCGGTGAGTATTGGCAACCACTAACTTGAGTCATAACATTTGAGAAGATGCAGATAAAAACTCGTTCACTTCAATGGTAACTACTGGAGCTGGCAAAAGTAGGAAAAGATTAATTAAACTTTGCTTAAGAATTACCTTATCAATGAAAGGCTATTTTGTGATAAACAACCCACTAAGGGTGAATTATAAAGCACCAGTTATTTGCTGTCTTGTGTCTTCAGAAGAAAACACCACTTAAGAAACCAAAAGTTGCATCTGAGTATGATGATCATTCTCTTGTTCAAGTGTGCTTTGGAGGTGTGATATTTCTCTAACACAATTTAAAGGCAGATGTTGTCTTAACAGCAATGATGGATTTGCATTTTTAGTGAGAAAATTCAGTTTTATCCACAATAGTCTCAAATTTGTATTGACAATTAGTTTTCTTGGTCCTTCCRTTCATGTATAGTTTATGAAAATTGATCTAAAATCAGAATTATTCTAATAARCCAGATACTTTCATATGTATGGGAAATACACATGTGTAATTATCCAGACATGTGCAAGTTTGCATTTTCTTTTCCCTGAAGAGTTAAGTTTATAGCTTTTTCCATGTATATTCAGTGGAAACTTGAATATCTCAAGTGGRGAGTAAAATTAATTACATTTTTCTGCACAAACAAAATCAATATAGGGAGCTAAGGGCTAAAAGGATTATTCCAGATTGATAATATAATCATTAAGAAAACAAGAGATCTGCATAAACTGGAGATTAAGAAAACAAACTAAAAGATAAATTTGAATAATAGAGTGACASAGGAATGCAACTCAGCCTTTTAAAAAAAGATAAGGTCATACTTAAACAGCAAACAAAAGTAGAAACTGCATTTACAAAGTATATTAGCCKGCAAAGCATAAGAATTATGGGTGCTAGAAGTAAAGTATGGCAATAGTATAAGGTAAAATCAGCATAAGATTTTGCTCCCAGTTCCAAATTTATCAATTTTCTATTGAATTCAAGAAAGTTTCCTTGAATGCATTGAGGAGCCACTGAAAGAGAGTACATGGTTTTCAGGTGTAAATCTGAAGTACTTCAAATTAACATTAATGTCAAAATTTCAGATCATCAGTCTTCCAACATTAGGAAATTATGCAAATTTACACACTTCYCTTTTTGAATAACAAAAAAAAGACAACCATTTCCCACTCTTTCTGATTACCATGAAGAGAATTGAGAAGCAGTTCTCAACTGTCTTCCCACGTGTCTCTATTTATAGCTTTCAAGTTTGCTTTCCCTGTCTCATGCACTCTTCCTTACTCATAATTAGTGAGAAACAAGTTATTGGGAAACTAAACTGGTTTACCTGCTAAAAATAACTTGTTCTGTCTTATTCACTGAGAGGCCAACAGCACTGCCCTTGTTACATAAAAATGTTTGACAGAGACATTAACTTTAAAGAACCATTAATGCTTTGAAAAGACAAAAATAAAAAACCAAGACAYGCATTTTCTGATACAGACAATTGTTAACACTCCTTGTGAACCTTGAGCAGTGAAAAAACCTCTGAGTATCATCACTGCAGAAAGTAAACATTTGCCAGAGTTTCCCTAGGACACAATACATAGCACTTCTACTAGTAGGAAAAAAAGCCTGGAAATTTGGACAAGTTAAAGTTAAATCCCAAGAGTTAAAGTATGAGCCAAAAAGGATGAAAATTTCCCTTCTGGTGACATGTGATATACAAAGAATACCTGCACTACTCTTAAAAMTTTGATTAATACATAGCTAAGCTTACGCAGTTGGTCTCACTCTGTATGAGGCTGAGTCAAATGGATGACTAAGAAAAAGGGGATGGAACTCTRGCCAGAAAGAAGACATTGCATAGGTGAATAATTTCAACAGGAGTTGAGGAAAACAAAGAACCTGCTCACTGAGTGGGTGCCATYCACAGATATCAGATAAAGTCATACAGCTTGTTTCCTAAAAGCATTCAACACAGAGGAGCTCTGGGGCAACCCAGGCTCTGCCCTGACAGAGTGGAAACAAAATAGRCAAGCCAAACAAAACACAGAGAAGAGGGAAACGCAGTGCCAAAAAAGTATCTGAGGTGATGAATGGTAGGCTTAATGTTAATTCCATACTTCATGTCTGTAGGTTTAACATAAATTATGAAGGATGGAAAAAGAGGAGATGGTGAAATAAATATATTAAAACAACCAGCTAAGACCAGCCACGGAAAAATGAAACTGATGAGAAAAGGGGCAAAGCTTGGACTTCACACATTAGAAGGTAAATGGTACCAGCCTGTTTGGACTCTACATCAAGAAGATAATCACACTTTCCAAAGGTAAAACACAAGTTCTAAAGCAAAAGTACACTCTCAAAAAAGAACAAATGGAAGAAACACTACACAAGGCAACCTCCTTAGGTATCAAATTATTCCCATCGTTTCTGAGAACATTCTGGGAAGGATTAAATATTATAACAGACTTTAACAGAAGCTCATATTTATATGTAAAACCCTATTAAGTTAAAGTTCAGACACTAACTGGTTAAAGCACTTGAAAATAGAAACTAAATACACAAAAATAGGAAAATAAAGCAAGCCTTGTCATTGGTAGAAGCTCTCTACCTAGATACCTAATCACCAAAACACTACTCTCCTTTTTTTCCCCCTCTGTTCAAATCAATCCTAATCTAAGATCAGGACTCATTCTGAATTAGCCAGGTTTATTTTATGGCCTGACTGATCCATAGCTATACAGAGAATATCTGACTTCCTAATGTAATAGATGCTCTTCCTGGTAACCTTTCACCACATGCACTTTTAACAGCTATGATCAGCTTCTCTGGGCAAAGTGTGCCAGGACCTCATCACCCTCAGAGTAAAGAATTTCTTACTAACAGCTAATCTAAACCCACTCTCAGTTTAAGGCTGTTAGCTGATTTTAAATGCTTACCTGGTGTCTTTATTTTGACTCAAAAAGAGMATTCATTCATAAAATTCAGTTTTGGATACAACATACAAAAATAATGGCATACCTGGTTCCCCAGATTCTCAGCCTGGACCTCAGGACATTGGATTCAAGAAATCTCCCCTCACGTCTTGAGACTTAAACAAATCTAGATCAATCAGTTTGAGGTGGAAAATATGCAAGTACCTTAGTTTGAGGGAAATATTGAAAAGCCTGCCAGACAGATATAAATTTTGGTATTTTAATTTTGTAATCCATTTGAAACGGATTTTGAAAATTACTTTTTAAACTCAAGCATTTGAAACTTTTACTTTAAAAAGTAAAGAGGCACTCATGTTTCATGTACTTTTAGATATGATATTAAGAGCCTCTTACAACCATCTATGACCTATGAAAGGATTTAGTCTGCATACTTAATTGCTTCTTTTTCCAARAAGCTTTTGGACGGAATTGTGCACATTTAATAATGATTTTGCAAGGGAGAGTTTTCAACAGGAAGCCCGAAGCTCCAGTCTGATTGCTTTACATTTTCATGAAATGGAAGACCAGAATTTCTGCTTCAGCTACACTAAAAAAATTATTTATGTTCCACCTTATATTTTGTTTTAGAAGATGTTTTGTAAGATGCATTTCAGAAAGGCATTAGCCACATTCTAGAAGCGAAAACTGCTCATAAGAAAYATAATCCTCGTCCTGTACTTCAATTAAATCTGCCTACATGTACCATAAGAARCTGTTTGACTAAAACTTGGGCAAGGTGAAGATTTGTACAGAGCAAAAGGGGATGATCCAATTTTTTAAACACAGGGRCAGCTGCTGCTTTCCAATTATACAAAAGACTGAGGGTCATGTACTCAAATGCTGTGGACACAACTGAGGCACCAAAGCAGATGTTAAGTCCTAAAATAACTTATTTGGATGCTTAGCARAAGTGCACCCATCTTGTTTCTTAGTCATAAGGCAGACATACTAATCTTCCTAGATCCCTCCACTAAGATAAATCTGTTTGACATAAAAAGCTCTTACTCCATTTGACCAGTTTGAAACTGCAGTGTGTCTTAGAAAAAGGCAAGCTAAAGTTATGAATTACACTCTGTATTCAAATGCAATTAAMAAACCCACAAATCTTTTCAGACTTGTAGCCTTTGTTTAATTCTAATGTAATCAAGCTGCTTTCAGATTTAGAAYACAGTAAACAGTGATGTAAAATACCAACAATTTCAAAGATTGTAAGTATAAATATATCATGATCAAGAAGCTGAAAGAATTCCATAGCACCACCAAATCATAMAAAAGAAAAAGAGTATTTCTCTCTCATCCATTTCATATTTTTTTGTCATGCCATTGCCTTAAATGAATGTTGTTTGAGTGTGAGACAGACAGATGACAGGTAGCCTTTCCCCTAAAATTCCAGTCTCTAATTAAGGTCCTCATTTTAAAACTGCAGATTCTTCTTAGGCAAACAAACAAAATTAACTCCTCCCCAAAGTAAACAAGCAAGCAAACAAACAAAACCCRAAACCAACAAACCATAACAGCCTTGGTGCTTTGTAAAAAAGAACTTTAAAGAAATGGTTCAGTAGATTCTCAAGCTGGATTGCAGATGGCAATCTTACTGCCTTACTAGAGGCAGTTTGAAAAGGTGGAATTACTCAAAACCCCAGAAATAGAGCCTTTGGTTGCATCTGTTTTCAGTTCCAGTACTCCTGGATGCCTCCAGTGAACAAAATCTATTCACAGACCAGCTTAGTTTAGCTTATTGTCAGACAARACTTAGTCCTATTTCCTGTCCTCTGTCTATTCCATTTTTTCTCATTCCAGTCTCTCTAAATTTCTCCTTGAATTCTGTGGATTTTAATTTGCCCAGAAGAACATCAATTAAAAAGGTGTGGGGTTTTTTTTTTTTGTTTTTTTTTTTTTTTTTTTTTTTTTTTTTTTTTTTTTTTTTTTTTTTTTTAATATGTATATTTTATATGTAATATCTGTCAGACAAACACATATCAAACACAGACCAAAACTTACTTTTCATTCCAGTCAGCCAGGGAAAAAAGGGATCTTTTAACTGGAGTATTTCTGCAAATCTTCACTTGACATATTATCTTCCCAGCGTAAGTTAGTGAACAGGAAAAAGAGAAAACTTGGTAGCTAGAAAGGAGAAAATAAATTAATTGTAATGTACCATGTCAATCTTCACTTGACATATTATCTTCCCAGCATAAATTAGTGAACAGGAAAAAGAGAAAACTTGATAGCTAGAAAGAAGAAGAAAAAAAAATCCTAATGTACCATGTCCAGCACAGTACATTTGGAGTTAACCACTCAGAAACTTGTGAAGATCCATCTTCACATGAGAAGAAGAATTATAATAATTAATCTCATATTAATGCGTGTGTGGAGGGGTGCATAAGTTTTGGGGTATTATTTTCTGAAAGTTCCGAGTTCAAGAAAAGTCCTACAGACACTTATGTGTCTTTAACACAAGTGTTCTGTTCAATGTTTATGTCATTAAAACTAACTTTTTTTTTAATTATTGCAGTGAATGAAAATTTGGATCTAAGTTGTGAAGTGTTGCTACTTGCTCATCATACAGTCAGCAAGCAATCTCCCACCTCTAGAACTGCATCTATTTCTGGGGCCCCAAACTTATGAAGGSCATGGAACTGTTCAGAGCAGGTCCAGAGAGGGACATGAAGATGCTCAGAGGGACATGAAGATGTTCATCTCTCCTGTGAAGACTGAGAGAATGGGGGTGTTCAGCCTGGAGAAGAAAAGGCTCCAGGGAAACATCAGAGCACCTTTCAGCAGCTAAAGGAGGCCTACAAGAGAGCTGGGGAGGGATAYTTTACAAGGGCAGTATAGTGTTATGACAAGGGAAGGTTTTAAACTGAAGTATATCAGGTTTAGATTAGATATCAGGAAAAAAATCATTATTGTGGTGGTGGTGAAACACTGACATGTGYTGCCCAGAGAAGCTGTGGCTGCCCCATCTCTGAAAATGTTCCAAGCCAGCCTGGATGGAGYTCTGAGCTCCCYRGTCTAGTGGAAGGTGTCCCTGCCCAAGGCAGTGGGGTTGGAATGAGATGTTCTTAAAGGTTCCTTCCAACCCAGGSCATTCTATGATTCTATTTATACCTCCTTTTTCCAATCTGTTATAAACCAGATTAGCACTCAAGGGACTCTACATTTTTTACAGCAGAAGCATTAAAGCCCTCTGTGTTGGTCTTCAGAGAGTGACCCAAGCAGCTTCAGAGTAAAATTCGGGTCTGGGATCTCTTTGGGATCTTCACTTTCCTCTGACTGAAATATTTTAAAGTATTTGTCAAAATAGARTATAAATAACTAATGTTCCTCATTAGTCTTGTAACTTCCAGATCTTCCTGCCAGGCTCAGCTTTAGCCCTCATTCTGTTGAAGAATGATGAACATGGGAAACAGTCAAATGAGAACAGGAAACCTGAGTCAGTGGCAGAATGAAGGTGCCTGAATTCACCATATTTATAAGAATGGTGATTTACCTCTTCCAGAACATTATACTAGCTTTCATAATTATTGTAGCAGATTTGGGTGGGTTTTTTCCCTCACTTTTTTTTTTGCAATGAAAAGAAAATTATCTGTAGTCTGCAGTACCTATGAGGTATCACTGCAGAGAAGGAAAAAATTATCTCCCACAAGTCTAAACTTTAGAAACAGTTGGAGGATAGTTCAGGAAATAATAGGTTTTAATGCAATCAAATGATWAAGTTTTGCTGTTCAAACAGAATGMATTAAAATGCATGTTAAAAACAGCTGCAAGATCCTAACAGGACCTTTTGAAAGGGAAATTGAGATCCATGATAMTGGCAGCATGAATTCATGCAGTGCAGAAAAATAAGAATGGGGAACATKCATGCAAACGATGTTAATAAAAGTACTTGAGGAAACCAAGCGTTAGAACAGCAGTTCATGTTATGAAGTCCATGCTAGCTATAAATATTGGAAAGAATGGAAAGGGAGATTAAGGAGTAAGAAATACCTAATTTTTATGTGCTTAAACATAGCATTGAAGTCATGAGTGGCCTTTAGGCTATGTGTAATTTCMCATTTTTCTGGTAAAACATAAAATGCAGTGGGAAAGGTATAACCATCTGAAATCAGGATAGTGATTATAGTTYAGTATCTATTACCTTAACTAATGCAAAGCCTCTAATATTTTTATTAAACTGCTATTTACAGGCAATGCAGTATAGTCCACTCTCTTGTTCACAGTCTAATGTAAATGATCCCAGACATTTTGGATTGAAGTCAAAGTGGGAGCAAGKGAAAATTAACAAAAACTTTGAAAACAGTTTTTTGACTCATAAAAAAGTGCTATCAGACTACGGTCACCTGCTCCTCTTTGATCACACTGGAGTGGTGAGAGAAGAACACCAGTTTTGCTCAGAGTAGGCAAAGCAGCTACTTGAAGAGACAACAAGTTTTTTCCAAATTTGAGCAATGCAGAGGAGAATACTTCTATCAGCTTTTGATTAAAACGGTCTCCTTTTATTAAATTACACTTGTCTCCTTTATATTTCCTGTGCTATGCTGATACTAGGTATACTTGGATCTGTAATTTTATTTGAATTACATCTCTAAAGAGCATCACCAATTCAGGTGTTTAGCCACAKGACATGGTTTGAACACACCAAGAGCAAAAATTGCTGAGGAAGCTTCATTTATACTGGGTTCCAGCAAAAGCACCCCTTTAACTCAGCAAGCTGGCCTCCAACCGTTCCACTTACTCATCCTGCAGACACCACACAAAGACCCAGTTCAAACATCCTTTGTGAGCAGCACACCCCTTTTCCTGCCTCCTGCTGAGCAAGCCAGTCATGGAAACATTTRTACACACATCCATCAAGGTCAGGACTCTGATGTTGTTTCTATTATCATCCTTCCACACCAGTCAAGGACAGCCAGCTAGGCTTCCCTCCTTAATTTTCCATTTATTTATGGGATTTGGAAGTTTCCTAATCAGTCAAGCTTAAGAAAATGCACTTTATGCTAGGAAAAAACAGTAGAGATACACCCACTCACTCAGTTAATAACATTAATGTAGGACGATCACCAAAGAACCAGAGGTGAGCTGATATCCATGAAAAATAACTGTTGTCAAAGGGACAGCACATCTTCTTATGAACAATTGCTGGACTTCCTCCTACCTGTTCACCCAGGCTTCTGGGATGTTATGGGCAGCATAAACAGTGAAGCTGAGCTGGGAATTTAGGCTGATGTCTACACATAACGGGCTTTTAGGTATGCTGGCAAGCTGGAAATTTGCATCAAAGCTGCTGCTGTAGACACGGATGAGACGAGAAATGGCCATAGAGAGCTCAGTCACAGCAGYCTCTATTAACACTGAGAGGAGAGAGATGAATAAATAAAGGTTAGCAATAGGTCATTCATGAAGAACTATATTTATCTTAAACCATCAGTTATGGCTTTGAAATGCTTCCTAATAAAATTTAATTAAAATGACATAACCTACAACTAAAGCCAATTAGCCATYTGTGCTTCTGAAACCAGCCTTAGCTCATTTCTGGTGCATCATTAACAGACCTGCATTACAGTGCTTTCAAATTAAGGCATTTTCAAAGTAAGCATTTGCAACTRCAGCAAGCTACTGTGTGCCTCAGATATGCCACTCTAGTCTTTGAATTTTTGTGCTGGAAGGATTTTTATTAAGTAGGTATTTTGTGATTTCAGCAGCCAAGGAGCTACTTACTTCAAGGGAACTGACAAGGCAGCAGTAGAAGGGAGAAAAGGCAYTGGTTAGATTTTCAAACTATAAAGCTGTTGCAACTGTATGTAAAYAATTAATAAAACATATCAAAATAGSAGCCACAATCAAAAAATRTCAGCATTTTGGTGGTTGTGGGTTGGTGATAATCTTACACAAAAATGGATACCAAAACACATATATACAAACATATATGAAATGCAGGCTGTACCCTAACTTACACCACACCTATTTTTAAAGCCATTCCCTCTGGATTGAGTTCTGCAGTGCTTTTTTGTCTGCAATTACTGGCTTCTATCCATCTTCCCTCTCTGTTTCTAGAGCACCTTGGGATTGCCTGATGGCTAGTGTAAATTAAAATCCCCACTTCTGGCAGCCTCCATCATGTGAAGAGAGATGTTAAGAGCACTCATTTCTCAAGCACRGCCTAGGTTGAGAGAGAAAGTGTCATAGTACATTGTATTGTTCCAAGATCAGGCTGATTTGTCTTCTAAGAGGAGGATCCCAAATTCTTTTTTTTYCCTCTTCTAACACACATTTTTCTACATGATCAAGAACATACTCTCACCACCCATTACAGTTCTTGACATGTTCCCTAAACTTGTCTGCCCACTGAAGTCAGCMCCTATCTATTAGCTAATAGTGTCTATTGAAAGAAAAAAGAGAAGAAGAAATACCTCAGGAATAGGAATCCTGAGACTCCTATTAGCTTTTTATATGTGGGATAGGTGCAGGAGTCCTGCCCAACATCAGATACAGATAGCACAATTCACTTAGCTACCTCCATTTCCTAACAGAAATATGTCCAAAATCCCCTATCCTCAGTTAGAAATTTTATTCTCCTTCTTYGGTATCTTTTGCATTTAAGCCAGAAAATACTCACAACTATTGAGTCACAAAATGCATTGCAAAYAGTGCAAAAAAATTATTTSTCTTCTTTTTATAATAGACAAATTTTAACTATKTAACAACAGAAATAYACACACGATTGAAATAGTTTGACATRTAATCGGGTTTGCTTCTGAAAATGCTGCCTGCAAATTATTGCATGCATGAAGGACTGGCTAGAGTACTACACATTGTAATGTTGTAATCATTTTCCACATATGAAAACTGAATCATTTTAGCGCTCAACAGGTTAAGGAAACTCAGGCCTTTCTACTCTCTGTCTACCCACTTGGTTTTAATTGCCTTTTTATTTACCTTTAGTATTTTCACCATTTTTCATCCTTAACCACAACAGTTTTGAAAAAAGTCTTTGTCTCTAGTGATTTTTTGCCTAGATTACCATTTAATTTTCCCGTCCTCTTAGATGTGTAATCACTTAGTAACTCCAAACTAAATGTTTCGTTTGCACTGAATTATTTTACATTCCAAAAATTTACCCATAGTCATACACAGAGAGCCTTCTTAAAAGCTCCAGAAGAGAACATCAGCTGACCATTATTTGAACCAATACTTTATCTGAAAAGTACCATACTATTTTCATTAAAGACCAACAGCTCCTTGGGAGATTGCTTGTTTCCAATCTATTCAAAGTGRTTGACAGGTAAATGTACCGCAATAGCAAACCCCTTATTTATGAAAATTGGCCTATTGAAGTCAGTGATTCTGAATAGAACCTTCTCAGTATTTTCTCCAATAGAGGGTAAAATGTACAGAATCTGTGAAAATGTACAGTTTTAACACAATCTATATTATAGGCTGCAAAGCAGCATTCCAGATTTTGTCTCCAGAACAGGAGGAAACATATTCTGTCTCAGCTAAGCCAAAGATAGAAGGGAATACTCCTTGGGCAAAGGATGCACACACAGTGAAGTCTGGAGGAACATACACAATAGAGTATTTTCCATAACAGAAAATTTACAWGTGCCAGACAAGGAAGTGATTAAAATGCAAGATGCTTATCACATATCCAAGCTACCACTGACCATGTTTGCCGAAAAATTGCTCTCATGGTTTACCTGACTCACAAAACTGATGTCAGAGATATAAAAACTAGACAAGTAAACAGAAACAAACAAAAATTCTGTGCAGTAATAGCATGTGAATGGTGAAGGAAGCAATGGAACAACTGGAGGGCAATCGGTTCTGTTGTTACCCAAGCAAGACAAATGACCTTCAGCATTATTTATCAAATTATTAAGACAGAYAGAATAAAGATATTTTCAGGATCAGAACTCCTCAGGTTTAAGCAAAGTATGAACTTGTCTGTAGGTCCAGGATTCTTTTCAACATTCATGTTCTTATTCTTGCTAGCTCTCAGTTATAAAACAGTCTATCATTTCTGTGCCAGAATCAACCCTTTTCCAAMTCCCATTCTTCAGTCATTAAGACCAGTAGCAATTAACAAAATTAGAGGGAAACATCTTGGGTAGTGTGTAAACATTCATTACTCACAAAAATTGGTCAGCATTTTTTCACTGTATTTTAATGAACTGCTGAATAGGATATGGTAGGCTGAAATTATATTGCCCGTTCATGAAGCCAGAGGGCTTTTACTGCTTTTTATGACTTTTATGATTAATAAATCGCACATGAGAAAGGACTACAGTATTTCACTGATTTACACAGCACAGGCTATGGACTTTCTACAGCAGATTAATGGTTTCAGTTATGTCAGAACTTATTTTCTAGAAAGGTGTCCCAGGCATACCCAGTATGTAAGAGACAATGAGGAGACCACACTGCAGAGTGAACTGTGACCAAGATTAATAATCTCACGAGTCAAACTTGTGATTTATTTCTGGTGTGAAATTATTTGCCATCACCTTCTCACTGAAGGTGAGGAGAAATCTGACTTTCAGAAATGAGATGAGAGCAAGAGAAGTGAACTTTAACCACAGCTGCCAGATATGCTTATTTCTGACACACTCCTTGTACAGGAATTCTGAATGAATAAATTCTACCCTTAGTGAGAAACAGAATAATCCTCATGATCCTGAAAGCGTTAATGAATACACCTGCAGGTGCCTGCAAGATTTAGTGAGGAACATAATAGCTTATTCCTTACACAAATCCACTTACTTTTCTTCTTTTCAGTCCACTGTTACAAGTCAAATATTATTTAAGTGCCAGATCTTCCAACAGAACAGGGACTTGGCTGTTATTGCATCACCATATGATGTCAATTCAATACATGTTAAACACTCTCTCTGACTCTGAACACATTTTCTTTGTGTAAAACATGACAAAAATGTGGTCAAACAGAATTTGGAATGAAGGCTTATGACCCTTTTGACACATTAAAAATAATTTTGAGAAATGGAGCTTGATTTTTTTCTTTCCAACTTATTTTTGGAGAGAAAAAAGGAAGAGTAAGATCCTGAATACAGTTTAGGACACATACACACACACAAAACCCCAAAACCCAAACTACAGGAAAAGCCCTGCTTAACCTGTAGGTAAAGTAGTAAGCAGCAGTAATCAGATGACTATTAAAATAAGAGGCAAAATATGAACAGGCGATAATGCATATACTGATCAGATGCAGTTTCCAAGCACCAGTATTTACTGGATTGTTTCCTCCCGCTAGTTGCAGAATCCTATAGATTATCCTTTGAAACCAACTTCAAAATCTCCTGCCATCATGGTATCAAAAATATCTCAGCTCCTACGTGATCTATAAAGCCTTGGAAACTTCTGTCTACTCTTTTTGAAGAACTGGGGGGCTGCAGTTATTTAAAAATTATTCTTGATTAAAAAGCCTCTGGCTTTAGGGACAGTACAGCAGCATGCAACACAACAACTTAGAGRTAAGGAATCATGCTCTGATTTGGAAACAATGCAGGAGACAGAGAGATGAAATGCAATTATTTTAAAAGTCCATAAGATTTTTCCATATTGCAAAACTAAGAGAGTTTTTGCCAAAAAAAAAAAAAAAAAATTGGGCTTTTTGATAAGGGATTTCTGAGAGCGCCGCTTTGCAGAGCGTCCGGAACAGCGGCACCTGAGGGATGTCCTGGAGAGCCCCACGGCCCTGNAAAAAAAAAAAAAAAAATGTAATGGGCTTGCTCTAAAAAAAAAGAAAGTGAATTTTTCAGCTCCAAGGGAAAACTTAACAAAAAAAAATTCCTATTTTCCTTTCCTCCTCTTTTTTTTTCTTTAAAAAAAAAAGGCTTTTTTGTTGTTTTCTTATCAGGTCTAGAAGCAACTACCAAATCCCAGGCACAGTTAGAGGACCTTTACACTTTTAAATGTAATGATGACTACATTACATGTATTGTAAGCATTACCTTTCTGCATTCACTTGAAAAGATAACGACTCCAGCAATTCAGCTGGAAAAGATTGTTGATTCAACATCATCAGCTCCTGGTACATACCAGACTTTCTGGATGGGACCCAGAGAACTACTGATCAAATTCTGAAAGCTGCTTATTATGTCTGATCTGGTGAAATCCCTGCCTGAAGTAGCAAGGCTGTAGATACCGAATAAACATTCATTCATCACTGTGCCAGCCTGCAGCCTTTTGCTACTCTGGRTTGCAGCAAACTCCATTGCTAAATCTCTATTAACATGAATAATCTGATTCTTTATTTTCTGTGAACACTTGATGCTGCAGAAAGGTAGTAACATCTAGAAATGCCTATAGCTTCTCACATTTAACAACAAATAAAGAAAATGTTTTGAGCACTAAAAGTTTAATATAATCTTCTAAGGGCTTCATAGGGAAAAAAAAGAACATGATCTAGACTTAGGCATAACGTGGATAAGTACTGCTTTATTCACAGCAGTGGCATAAATTATTCTACAGAGATAACGTTAATAGAGGCAGTTATTGCAACACTAAATCAAGGCTAGATATTTTGAATATAGTCTTTGACTTGCTTAGTCCATGGTGAACAACTAATAAWACACCTCTGAAAATCTGTTATTAAAGAGAAAGGTTAAAGCAGTTTCTAAACAAATTATTAAGTAAGGCTTTAATTTTAACAGTATCCTATATATTTTTCTCTTTTCTGGTAGAGGAAAGCTATAAATGGAGAAAAACAAAACTCTTTCATGATACTCAGGGTAATAATCATCTCTTGGGGGAAGAAAGGGGAAAGGAAAATGAAATTACTAGCTGAAGTAACAGATTACTGCTCTCACTGTTAAAATTTAATCTTGTTTTCTTCAAGATAAATATGAATACATATGAGACACAAAAAGGAATAGTACAAATGGGAAATTCAGTCTGTCTCTGCCTTGGCTGTCAACTCTAACTTCACCTGTGAATGTGCTGCTTGAGAAAGCAAAACACATGGATTTTAGCTTCCCAGAGATCTGGAAAGATTTAACAGCACTGAGCTCAGGCCATGATTATCCTTTAATTTTGGGTCAYGGGCTTGCAGATTTTTGCATGGCTGCAATCCTAGACAGCTAAGCACAATGAAGCAAAAAAAAAGGGTGGGAAGCAAGTGAGGTGGAAAAGGAAACACAAAGGTGATTTTGGGAGGAATGTACAACTCACCACTTACTTGGTTTTTACTTCTAGCTTCAGAAGGTGAAAATGCCATCTGGATTCCTCTCAAGGTAGTGACCCCAGATCAATGGATGGGAGGCCCCATGGCATTMTCATGAAAGTGAGCACTAAGAGGACAGAGACTAAGGAAAACTTGTGATGCCCAAAAGACAAGATGTATGGCTTTCCTCATTTCTGGGAGTTCAGACCTAGGTTCCTGCAGATCARTTTTGGTCATTGCACTCACACTTTGATTTTCTCAGATACATTCTTAATACCAGCTGACATGCTAGTTCATTAGCCTAACTTCAATATTTTGCTGATTTTAGTCTATTTAGTTTATTTATTAGGTGCAGATGTAAGACATGTAGCATGTTAAAACATACATGAAATGTCTATCACTGCGTGCAAAAGGACACTGGTAAATTTGGTTACCTTGGACAAATTTGAATGTAGGCTTCCCCACAGAAAGACTAATGGCTTGACAGGTTCTGACTTGCAACCAGTAAATTGCAGTTTTGAATATTACACTACCAAAAGGATTCTGCAATTGTTATGAAATTAGGGTGTGTCAAGAACAGAGAAATCTTCACAGTTGAAGATTTCCTGGCTTAAATAATAAGGTACAGAGAAGTAGGAAGTAAACAMCAATTCCTTCACTGTTACTCAATAAATGAGATTTTCCTTGAGAGAGCTGCTGGTTCAATGAAGCTCTACCTGTAAGTAGAGGAATGTTTTAAATCCATTCCAATTATATTTTCTGAACAGTGTGTGGTGGAAGATGTATCTAAGGTAGATATTTATTAGTAACTATTGATTGTTTTCAACATGAGCAATTAGCTGCCATTAAGGGTGTTTAAAAAAAGGCATGGGATAAAGCACCATATCCAAGGAGGAAGAATGCTACAAACTGCATTTACCTTCTTCTCCCTTCTGGAGAGAACCTGCATGTTCTGCCCCCCACTCTCTTGGCCCTCCAGSTGCTTAGCTTCTCTTGGTAGCTTACAAATAGAATTGCTGTTTCCTCTCTCTGCTGTTCATGAAGTTGAATAATGCTGAAACAAGCCTGGCATTTGGAAACCTTCATTTGAATCACCTGCGTGTTTGAAAAGCTGCTGAAATCATTGCAGTTGGTTCACCTTTTTGCCTCTCTGAGCATACTGCAATCGAGAAAACCAGAGAAAACAGGAAAAGAGCAACACAGAGGCCATTTTTTTCCTCAAACAAAATGGAGAGAGACAAYCCTTCCACAGCCTACCCCAGTGCTCAGTTGGAGGGCCTTTTGACAGTACCCATGCAGCATCCCCACCAGCATTTGGGCAGCCATAGAGCAGCACATGATGCAGCAGGGGCAGCAATGCAGCTGTTCCCTCCTGGAATCCAAASTATGGCAGAGCAGACTCCTGCTCATCCCATGCTCTGAGAGCTGCTTCATAGTCATGCTAACATGCTCTCTCTGAGCCAATGAGAGTTCAAATAGGCAGGGTCAATAATTTTGTCCATTACTGTTAATTAACCTACTCCTCTTATGACAATCTATCATTAGACAAGACACTCAYTATACAACAAAAGATCACAAAGAACTAAAGGTAATCGAGGGAGGAATGAGAGTTATTGGAGTCAGGTGGAAAAGTCATATGCAAAAATAATTTTTCAGCCTTCCATGAAGTTCATTGTTTTCCCTTCTCTCCACATGGAAAGTTCTGATTAAAGAAAACTACCAGAACCACCACCATCTGAACTCAATCCTTTCATTCTACTATTCGTTCACCATATTTGAGTCTCCAGATTATTTTGTGGAAATGCTGTTTTAGTTACACTTTTAGATCACTTCAATTTTAACTTATCATAATTACCTTATAATACACCTAAACATGTAAACACCTGCAATTTGCCAACTCTAAAACAAACAAATAGCAAATAGTAAAACAAACAAATAGCAAAATGTGTGTTTTCTGATGATACATCTTGAATTAACATTTAAAAAATAACACGTTACCTTTGCCTGGTGTTTCCACACTTTGAAGAGAATTCTATAAAGACAAAATCAGAGAGAAAAAAGTAATCAGTTACTTCAGAAAAGACCAGGTAGCAGTTATAATGGTTGTAAGAACAGSGCTCATGGAAAATACAATGAAAAGGGGGAAGGATTTATCTTAATGTTGTGATGACATGACTGGGATTCAGAGCACCAGGACCTTGTTCCTCTACCCTCCTCAGACAAGCCACTTAAGACCTGCTTTCTGACAGCATTTGGGCATGTCAAGATACAAAGAAGCACTTAYCAACATTAGAGTGCACACCTTCTCAGCCTCTGCAGCCATACAACAGACATAAGGATCCYGTCCCATCCCTAACACAATCAGACATGAAGCCCACCAGGACAGAGTCTCAGCATCCTTTCCTAGCTGGGGAGCAGCAAGTCTCCCCTCATTTCACCCATGTTCCTGTGCCAAATCAGTGAAAATAGCTGTGCCCTTCGAAGGCCTTTGAGCAGGCAGCTGAGCAGAGCTGGCCAACAGGAAATATTAGGAGAAGGGAGACCTCAAAGTGCTCTCCAGCTTCCTCATGAGGGGAAGAGGGACTGATCTCTTGTCTCTGGTAATCAGTGACAGGACCCTGGGGAACGGCATGAAGCTGAGTCAGGGGAGGTTTAGGCTGGATATCAGGAAAAGGTTCTTCACCCAGAAGTTGGGCACTGAACAGACTCCCCTTGGAAGTGGTCACAGCACCAGTCTGACAGAGTTCTGAACCRTTTTGACAATAGTTTCAGGCACACAGTGGGATTCTTGCAGTGTCCTGTGCAGGGCAGAAGTTGGACTCTCATGATCCTTGTGGATCCCTTCTAACTTAGCACATTCAATGATTATATGAATCTATGATCAGATTTGCATCTACCAAAGTAACACMAAAAAAAGCAGCAAATCTTGACCAGAGAGACTAGAAATTTAATTTTGCATTTCAGTATTGCCTGTGGCTTGCACGGTTTGCACCCACATCCCTGAAAGTTCCTTTCTCTTTTCAGTCATTAATCCCTTTGCAGTGGGCTGAGAATGCTTTGTGTTAGTACATATGTATTCAGCATGACGCTTCTTAAAAATTACAATGCATGCAGAGGTGGCATAAGAAATACAATGYTGGATGTACATTCTCCCTCTGGCACCCACCTTGGAGCTGCCAGCATTTGTCTGGTGAAGATGAACAGAAGTACTCAAATGCTTACTTGAGGGGAGAAAAGCAGGCTGAGAATTATGTTTTCACAATCTTCATAATGYAGTGAGGCAAATGGGAACAGAGACCTTTGTTCAATTCTCTCAAATTATGGAAAGTAAACAACCTTTTGGCACAGTACTTCTAATTTCAACATAGTATAGCATGCTTAATATATAGTGGATTAGTGCCTGTTCTGGCAGGATTTGATCTCTTAGGACTTCTTGTGAGCTGCCGTAAAAAAGAATGAAAAAAAAATAAAGAAGAAATGAAAAACATTAACTGTGCATCAGGCCCAGAGCCTCCCCTGAATGGATTTTAAAATCCCAGGGTTAGGTTGGTTAGAGACTGAAATAATCACATTTACAAAGAGATGCAATCAGTTAAGAAGAAACCAGCACTGGTGCCAGTTGCTTTCATAATCTCTTAACCACAGTACAGGAATGCACAGTACTGGCAGTGAGGAGGCAGTAAGGAGGTAATAAGTACAATTTAATTAGATACAGAGGATTGAAAGTAAGTTTCTTTTTTTTTTTNACATTTATATATTATTCTATACATGAGGTAATTGCATATAATGTGTAATCACATTTTCATAAAATGGGACAGTGTTCAAGTTATAAAACATGCAGAAATTTATTTTTACTGCTTTTATGACATTTATAGTTCAGCTGCCGAGAAAGAAGTTCTTTATGGAATCAAAGCCAAACCTTTTCTAGATTTCTGAGGTCTACTAACTGTCCTAGCAGCTATTTCTCCACAGAATAAAAAGCCAGAAGCAGCAACAGCATTTGCTGGCTGCAGGAACAGTTGGGCTTTCTTTTTTTTTTTTTTTCCCTCCAAATATGCAAGCCCACATGTACATATAGGTATAAACAAACATAGACTGGCACCCCACGTAATTTACATTGGAAGAAGTAAGCAGTGGTTTCCCTGAGGCTTTATGTGCACATGTGCCAAATGGACGTGTTTAAAAATATTCCACACAAAACCACACCATATATTATAATAAGGCATGAGGAAAACATGGTGAAAAAGCAGTTAGAATTCTTTTTCTCGTATTCCTCCCTTACCTGATGTGTAATGGTGCAGCACTCGAGATGCAACAGGTAGCCTCAAAAATGTCACTTAATTTGTAGGGCAGTTTACCTGCCTATCTTTACCTTTAGAAAAAAGCCTCTCTTCCATGTAAAAAAAAAGTTTTGATACTAAACTGATGAACATAATAGAAACAATTCAAGCATTATGGCAAAATACACTAACACCACAGCATTTATTAATTTTGTCCATACCCAAAATTCACATTAAAAATGACCCTACAATTCAATATGAGTCAAAAAGAGATTTGGGGGAATTGGTACTCCATCAAACAATGGGCTGCTGAGTACTAGTTTTGACTACATTTGTTGCTACAGATGAGAAAGCTGGTCAGTTGTTAATTAGAAATATAAATATAAGAAATAAATATTTATTTTATAAATATAAATATTTGTAGAAATATTAATAGAGATACGATCTGATTTGTTACATTTATATATTACTCTGTACAGGAGGTAGTTGCATATAATGTGTAATCACATTTTCATAAAATGGGACAGTGTTCAAGTTACAAAACATGCAGAAAATTATTTTTATTTCTTTTATGACTTTATAGTTCAGCTGCTGAGAAATAAGTTCTTTATGGAATCAAAGCCAAACCTTTTCTAGATTTCTGAGGCCTACTGACTATCCTAGCAGCTATTTCTCAACAGAATAAAAAGCCAGAAGCAGCAACAGCATTTGCTGGCTGCAGGAACAGTTGGGCTTTCTTTTTTTTTTTTTTTCCCTCCACTTGTTTGAAGTCAGTTGTTAGTCACGTCTGCCTCAGCAAAGAGGGAGTCAGAAGAAGAGCGATGTCAGTCAAGGTCACAGGCAGCTTTTACAAGGAAGGCTTCAAGGGACAGACAAATAGCTCAGCCTGAAAGGCAGTGTTAAGGGAACAAAACCTCAATCACTAAAAATCTTTAAAACATGAACAACAATCTAGTCAGTAGTTTTCAAGAGATACGTGAAACAGTTTCTTATTGAATATTAGGACAGAAAAATATTTAAGACTATTCAATCAGGACACAATCTTTTTAACATTCAGAAGAGGCTATTCAGGAACAGTATCATTTTGCTCATTACAGATGAGCAAACAGTATCATTATCATCACCACCTCTCATCTGCAGCCTYTGGAGATCACAGCCAGGACCAGCACTCTGCTGTGCTGGAGACTACACAGAGWTAAGGACAGGCTTATAAACTAAATAGGTAAAAGAGAAAAAGGGAAGTGTATGACTCCCTCCATGTRCAGAAGAATGTGCCAGTTGTTTTAGGGAAACCTCTACATATTGGAGACCGTCTAAACAGTAGAGCTGGAACTTTGACATGGTGAAGAATGAGCAGTGGCAAACAGGGAACATTTGGAGCAGGGTTTTTTGTATCTTTCTTTTTACGACAAGATAAATCAGCTCAGAATTCAACTATTTACTAGTATCACCTCTAAAATAAAATCAATATTTGCATGACAATGACTCTGAAGACAAGCAAAAGCAAACATGAACATCAACAGAAACCTTAGACTTGAAAGTTTGGTTTTCATCCCATTGTTTTATTCTTCACGGCATGACACATGGGGTTTTCTGACTTGTCTGGACAAGTTACACTAATAGGAACTGATTTGTCTCTTTGACCACTGCACCTATTTCTCTGCTCAAAGTCAGAGAGGATGGGGCTGCAAATGGACCAGGGGATACTCAGAAAATAAAAGCCAGTTGCAGGAGGCAGTTTACACTTTGGGTTCACAGGGCTGACCTGAACACAAAAAGAGAAAATACACTGAATTTTCCTTACCTCAAAAAAAAACCAAAAAAAAAACCCAACCCAACTTTTAACAAATTAGTCCCAATACATTTCTTTTGCTCTAATTACTTTGTAAAAGAAAGTTCTGTTACTCTTCTCCGTACCTTTCAACTGGACCCAGCTCTTTATCTATCTCTTAAGAAAGATTCTGGAGTGACAAAATACTTTTCTCAATGACAAGACTCTCATCATCTTTATGCCTCTTAAGAGAGTCTGTACTTTAAATGAAAACAAATCACATGAATCCCTTGTTAGCCCCGTTTTCTCTACAGTGTTTACTCTGTAATATACAAGAAGAGCTTTTCTTAGATGGAGATATTCTTATTTCCATTTGATTCCACATCATGCCACATAAAATATGTGCCAAAACAGATCCGCTAATGCAGGAATTTACTCCCAGTAGTGACTTCCAATAATTGATGCCAAAACAGACTTGGAATTTAGGATAACATAGAAGCAAGATTTACAGCGAGTCATGAGCAAGAGAAGCCACTTAAGTAAATCAGCTGGTCAGGTCTGAGCAACAAACTAAAAACCCCTAGAGCTGTCTTGGTTCTTCCAATCCTTGGTGTCCTTACTAATCACAAGCCATGAGAAAAAAATAAAATCAAAACCAATAATGAGAAAGGATAAAAGTCTTGCAAGGAGGTAAYGGTCTGAATGCAAGCATCCCATCCAGTTTGGCATGATTTTCTAAKCAGTACTTGCTGTGAGAAAGAATGACAAGAGACAATGCAAAGAAAGAAGAGAATTCCTTAGTAAYTTAGTTTGTTTTTTTTAAAGTGTGAAGAGGGAATTTCATTAGGGTGTGAAAAAATTATCATGACTTACAGTTACACCAGACCAAATCCAAGTGATTAATGGCTTGATTTTCAAATTTGCTGAGTACCTGTATCTCCAAGATGCTGACTTCAGAAGAATTTTGGGTACTCAGAACTTCTGCAAATCAGGTCATAGGGACTTGTCTAAGGTCACACCAAAGCAGCTGAAGACCAAACTGAGAATAGTTACTGATCTCCAAAGTACCAGCTCACAATTATACAGAAGCCATTGGAAAAACCCATTTCAGTGTTTTAAGAGAATTTCAGCTAAAATCAGGACTATATGATTCTTGCACTTTTTTTTTGCATAAATAGCAGGGACATTTCAATCTAAAAAAAAATATAATTTAAATGTCACTAATGGAAGATTTTAATTATTATTATTACCAACTTATACATAATATATGAAAATCCAATACTTTGAAATCCTGTGATTTAGTAAATAGGTGATGTGGCAAAGCAGAGATTTGTACATTCAGTAGGACAAGAAAGAAYTGGAGAGGAATATCAGTTCCAGTTAAGCACATGACAAGTCTTCTGTTGCTCCTCTGTCACACATGATCAACCTTCTTTTTTACAGTGCCGCTACCCAACACTTGTCAAAAGGGAAAATACATAGCAAGACAGTAAAACAGACTCTATCAATCAAAAAATCAGTGATATYCATTCAAGTTTCAGTTTTAAAGAGAAAAACAGGACATCCCATGCATCTTTTACCTGTGCYTTTACCAATGGTGATGCACGGAGTTTCCTGACTGCATCAGTGAYGTCTCTGGTTTCCACAAAACCCAGAACACTGCAGATGGCTTTAACTGCTTCAATCACATTATCAACTTTATTCTGTTGATAAGAAAGAAAGGGGGAAAAACAAACAAAAAACCAAATAGTAGACACATAGGATTTACCAGAAATAGCTTACCATAGACTTCATGCAGTGAGGGTGTAGAAAATCCTATCTGCCCATGCAAAATTCAAACCCCATGCTCAAGTCTGGCTATACTGAAATCACCACAGACCAATAGTGTCCTAAGGATAGCATCATTTTTGTTAAAGTCCAAGTATCTTCCACAAAATCATTGAAAAGGGCAACAAATTCGGTATCAAAGACTGATTTTAAGACAAAACACTGGTTTGTCTGAACTCCATGAGTGTAGAAGCACTGTAAAGAAACTTCTGAGGAAACCTGAATCCAAGTGATTCAYGAGTTTTATGAGGTTTTGTGATTCTGTGAATTTATCCTCACTATTGTCTCCTACCCATCTCTCTGAGARTTGGAAGACAGCCATGTTCCTCCTAAAAATAGAGACTGTGTGGGAGGCTGCATAATCTGACACCTGTGGACTGAGTACTTTTGCAACTAGTTTTCTGCAAAATTATATATTCAGTTAAAACTAATTAATCTTATTGACCATAAATTTAAATATGTAAATATTGCCATAAGAAAAAAAAAAATCTCTAGATGAATAACCTCAGAAATATTTTTGGGAATTTAAAAAAAAAAAAAAAATGGATCCCCAAAGGAAGGAAAACATAATCCAGATCTCAAGTACTCTTTATTGAGGAAAATAAATAAGGAAATAAAAATTCATGGGCTTTCTGCATAGTTATATCACTTCATTAAACCTTAAAATACATTCTCTGAACAAGCAGAAGCTCTCCTATAAATATTCTCCATGCTTCTGTACTGATAAATGTTCCTTTTAGTGCACTATAGCATGTCTATGTACCCATAAAACCATTTCTCTAACTCATCCCTTTCACGCTTGAAAAATAAAAATTGTATGAAGATGAACTTGCCGTTTTCAAGCTTAAGGTCTATGCACAGACAGTACTGAGAAGGTTAACACCTGCCATTATTACAAATAAATATAAAAATATATTGAGCTTACTAATTTCAAATTACCTGCCTCGAGCAGACTAAAGCAGGACTSAATTACATAAAAATGTATATTGTTGGGGAATTTTTGGAATTAAGGACAGCAACACCTTTTCATACTACAGGTTCTAGAGAGGAAAAGGCTGACTGCGATCTCTTGAGAAATTTAAACCCTCCTTTGGGCTGAAGTTGACTGACTGCTCAATGGTATGGCTCTGCTATGTGTAACACCGACAAACCCAAAGCATTAAAAATGTAGATTTATTCTGAGCTGTTGAAGAAATAAGTGAGTATATGTATATATGTATATATATGTGTATATATATATGCATACATATATATATATATGCATACATATATATATATAATTTGTAATTAACATTAAATATCATTCCAATTCAGCATTTGATTTAAATGAATTTTAAATCAGCATTTTTCTTTACAAGTGGAGATGTATTATTAGAAGAAGGATTTTGTGCCTATAAATACAGTTATGCAGGGTAATTCCTGAGCAGTATGCAAAAGTAACCYCTGAGTAGAGAAACAGCTCTCTGGATGGAGGAAAAAACCTCAAAAACACAAACTCACCAACAGTTTATTTATTTTTGTACCTACATATAAATGCCATTCCATAAAGAGAATTGGTATCTTGAGGACTGTATCAATTTCTGTTTAATATGCTRTTCTGTTTATAGATAAACTATCAAAATACTTAATATTTATAGGAGCTACTTTACCATACATTTTGTTTTTATGGTAGCTACATCTAAGGAGCATATTGCAGATGAAGAAGAGGAAGCACATGAAATTATGTGATACTGTGTGCTATGCATGGTGACCTCTTTCACATTATTTCTCTGCTGGGATATTATCATGTAAAGAGTTTTCTTTTTTATGTGTAGATGCATGACATTGTTTTTTGTCCCAAAGAAGGGAAGATGGAGAATCATTTCTTACAGAAATGTTGCATCTTCTGAAATTCCAAAGGAATTACAGTCAAAAACTTGTAACTCCCCCCCCCCCCGCCCCCGTGTATTTAAATACAGAACCTTAGGAGGATATTTTGGTGTTTCAATTATTTATATGATAAAAAAAAATGTTATTTCATTCTAGAACTTCTACATCGTATAAAAAATTTACAAAATCTTCTCTACAGTAACAGCAAATTTTGAATGGGTTTAAAAAYGGAGTGCATGCAAAGTGGTTATCAGGGCAATCAAAACTGACTGGTTGCTTGACTGCACATATTCTCTGAGAAGTACATTTCAAAATTTACATTTCAACCCTAACAGCACCAATCTCATCCTTGTGCCAAACATCTTAATTTATTTTTAATTTTTTTTCTTTACAGAGGCATTATTAATCTCAAAAWTAATTTTCTATTTATTTATTATTATTACTAATTAGATTAATAATTATAATGGGCTTGTCCCATAAGTCAGAAGTACTGGTATCCCCATGTTTTTGAACAAATACATTTGGAAATAGGTAAAAAAAAGTTGGTTTTTTTTTTTTTAAATTGAGAATGTCAAGGTATGTCTGGTTAGAACTGAATGCTTAAGGAACTTTCAGCTGAGTACAGAACTTCAGCAGATATGTGCACTTAATTGACAATGTGTTTTAAATTCCAGTGTCTTAAATTCCAGTGTCTTAAATTCCAGAGTGTGCTGAAGGTGTGAATCAGAGAGTAACAATAATCCCAGTGATGTGAATGGAAATAGCTTGGAAAACAGACATAATTACTCCTGAGCAGCCATGGGATAGGGGACAGTTGTAATGACCCCAATTTTAGAGCTTCTTCAAGCAATCCAATCAGAAGTTAGAGAAAATAAGTACACAAAGATTCAAAGACCAAATAGAGTCCTCATTTTTTACTTTCTTTACTACATATTCATGACTRTAACTTCTTACATTGCAGCTCCATAACTTTTGGGGGCACCTATTAAAGCAAATCACACTACTAGATTTCATTATTCCAGGTTTGAAAAAGCTCCATACCCTGATGCCTCTGAATGAAAATATCCACATGGAGATAAGACCTACATCATTAACTTGCAATTCAGCTCTTTTCAGCAATTCTTATGAACTTTATTGAGTGTCCCTGAGTAGAAAAGATCTTATTTAAAAAAATAAACTACAGAGAAATTTTGCTCTAGACACACACATATTTGTCAGATGGTATGAATATGTGAAAAATGTACTTCCTTCCCTTTATAAAAAGTTAATGATTTCAAGAAATTGCTTACTCAATGTAAAAATCTTTAGCAACAACAAATTTAGAAATTTTTCATTATAGGTATGAGGAATATCTGAACAGCGTCAGTTGCAGAGGGTGGATTGCRAAGTCTCATTAATGTTGAGGTTATGGCTTTTTTGGAATTTAGAATCCTCTTACTTCAGGCCCTAAAATTTCAAGTGAATGTAAATAAMTACCCTGATGGGTCTACTTTAGTAAAGAAATATATATGCACATTTGAGCTTGGGGAGCTCACTTTTCCAAATGGTTATGACTGCATCRCATTTTATACACTAAATACTTCCCTTTGAGATGGTGCTTACAAAGGAAAATTCAGCAAATACCTGCACAGTGTCAGACCCAGAGCTTTACTTTGTAGCTGTGCACAGTATAACAACTTTTAAATTTGTGGTATTTTGAAAAAAGTGTTAAAGATTTACACAGAATGTAGAATGCTTTTATATATACATATATTAATATATGTATTTATATATATATATATATTATTGATATATATTTATGTATTCATGCATGTCTGTATGTGCATTTATATAWATATGTGTGTATTGTATAAACATTTGAATGTAAAGATATGTTTTTCTGGCTATTCTAAATAGCAATACTAATGGATGAAGAATATCCAGAGAGATTAAAACTGAACTAAAATACAGGTAACAGAATTCTGAAGTAAAATAATAATTTTATGTTGTAATGTATTTTAAAGAAATCCATAATTTAGCATAATGAGTTACAACTCCAGAAAGGATGCACTGGAATATCTCCACGCTACATCAGTATGCTTTGATTTTACTAAATATTTTGTTTTCTTTCCAGTTTTAAACACTAGAAAATCAATTATCATGCCAACTTGAAAGTGAGATCAAATCAGTTATCATGCCAACTTGGAAATTAGATCAAATAAACATGGGGTTTCTTCCAAGGTGTGACTCAATTTGTCCTTTACACATTTGTCCTTAAAACATTGGATAGCAGAGAAGATTTCCCAAAAGATTTTTCCTCCAAGCATGTAGCATTCAATTGGCAGCCCACAATGCTTTAAAATAAAACTCCTTGGATTTTTGCTGCCTAAACCTAATCCTTCAAACTACCACATGCTTACACGTATATCCTAAATATGTAAACATTGGGCTYGGGGGTTTGCAAAATCAGGCACAAATTTTGCAGGTGCATACAATGCATTATACCTCTACTAATTCRAAGTTTTATATTGCCAGCCCAAATATTTCTGGTTTTATTTACAAGTTCCTTGACACTTAGGAACAGCCCCCTTTGATATTTTAAATGTGTAGCACCTTTTTCCTAACCTCAAGCCAAGTTTTATTAAGAGAATTAATAKCCCTTCAAAGTCAGATTAAGCAGTCTTAATTAAAAGTCCTCCTTAATTGCATCCAAGACAGGTTAATAATTAGATACCTTTCATGTAGAAGTTAATGCTTTTCTGGTATAACAAACTGGGAACAAATACCTCATTTTGCAACAGATATTCCACTTGACCTCTGTAGTTCGTAATAACAGTGACAAGGTTCTGCCTGGAAATTGGAAAAAAAGGAAACAATGACAAGTTAATAACAATTAGATAAAGAGGGCAGGTTTGGGTTTGGATTTTTTTGTTTGCTTTTTCACATTCTAGACATTTGAAATAATTTCATTTACGATGAAATGTTTTGCAGCGATTTTATGTTAGTATAAACAAAGACAAGTGTATATGTAGACATCATACAATTAAGCCTGGATGTCCCTGGGTTTTGGAAATTATTTGCCATAAAGAATAGGTGCAAAAATCTACTTATACCTCGAGGATAAAAGTTTCCCAAGTTAAAGAACTCCAGTTAGTGATTTGCTGTTGCAGTGTCTATTAAACTTCATAAATTTCCCATTTATTYTAAGGTTAAGCAAGTGCTTAAATACTACCTTGAAAAGAATGGACTTCAGTACATGTTACATTCTTACGGCTACACTTGATGATTTWAAAGGTTTTTTTCTAACCTATATGATTTTGTGTTTCAATGCCTTCGTTCTCAATAACTTCCCAGAATAAAGTTGCAGAGAATCAGATAAAACATCTGCAAAAGATCTGGAAAATCTCCACGTTTCAAAAGTATGTGCTAAGCCCCAAGAATAAAAGTGTGTTATAAAATGGGACTCCATTGTTACATAACCCATGAAACTTTATTTGCATGCAGTTCTCAAGTTTATGTTGTTCAAACTGTCCCAGCAGCTGCCTTTYCCATAGCATTTCCTAAGCTGGGAATTTGTTTTACTTCTGTAGACAGACATACACCACTCTGTGGTTCCATGCCTTTGTCATGCTACAGAAATCACTGCAAAATTTGTACAGGCAGATTGCTAAATCTAACCAAAGCCTGACTAAAATAATTTGGATTATGAAGAGGAGCATGCAGGTCTCTCTATGCTAAACTCCACAACTGGGGCTTCAGGTGGAAATCTCACACTTTTAGAACCACAGGCTCCAAGTGCTATCCCCAACAGATAACCAGAAACAGAGTTTTGCTTTTAAGAAGCATTTGTGTAATTTTCTGTGTTTCAAGCATTGTAATATCCTTGCTGTTGTTCATTTGTCATCTGGAACAAAACATAAACAGGTGCCTTTCAGATCATTGCTAAGGTATCTTCCTGTGTCAGCCTCCTTTGGGGGGGTCAAATCATCAGGAAAGGATATGAAAACCTTCTTTCCCGGTTTTACACCTTGCCTAGCCCACTGATTAATAAGAGACACATTATTACTTCAATAGCCATTAGGAGTAGTTGGGGATTGCACATGCTTTCATGAAAAAGTGGAAATTATAATYTGCATTCTTTCTTCACTGTTTATTTTACACTATCATTTTATCCTTCACTTTTTCTTCCCCTCTGCTCTTATAGCCCCAACTGATCTTTTATTAGGATTCTCCCTCTTCAGAAGGCTTAGAAGGAATTCCCTTTCTCTTTTCCATCCACATTGCATCTGGTAGCTGAATGTTCCAAAAGTATTTTGATTCTTTCAGAACAACGTAAATTAACTATTGTTTACATAGAAATTGTGTGCGTCCTCATGTGTTTTAGCTGGGCTAACTGMACCATCCAAGATTATAATTCCAACTACGGCCCAAAGAACAGGTTTCACGGTACGTCATTAGACTTTAATTATCTTTATTTTGTGGCAAGAAAAGGAGAGACAGCCATTGCACTGAAATAAACACCCAGCATAGAGAAATGTTCGGTGGCCTTCCCTCTGCTAATATCACAGTGCATTTCCCCGAAGATGCCAAATATTCACTTCCTCCTACACGTAACTCTGCCTTCATAGCTTTTTCTTTCCAATCTGCACTAGCTTTATCTAGCCAGGCAGTTTGTGCGTGGAGTAAGTAGCTGCCTGGAAATTCCTCCTGTAATCCTGTTAAATCATAGCTTATACAAGTTGTCGCTCTGCTTTGACCAAATCTTCAGGCATAACATCTTTTTCATAGCCTTACCCAGCTGAAAAATATTTCTGAACATGGGAGCTTTCCTTGTTGTCTTTTCCCATACAGGCAAGTATATTTATTAGCATGGTTAGTCTAAATGAAGAATAATTTCCTAAGTTATAATGCTAGTTCAAAAAATTAGCATATTTTCCATCAGTTTATTCTACCCTGGAGAATTTTTGGTGTAAAGTTGCCATAATTTTACATAATTAATAGGAAACAAATCCAGCAAGTTGTAACAATGATCGAAACACCTCTATTAATGCTATCCTGAATCTCTGTTACATAACTAATAATACCCATATCTTATCACAGAGACATACTTCATACTTGTGCATCTTTATAGCTGTGTATAAATACGGCAAGCCTAACCAACCCATGAACATTTAGTACWTCTTTGATGTTACAGACTTTTTTTAGCTTTTAGCAAGTCAATATGGTGCACAAGTTTTGGAAGGGAAATAAGAAATGCACAAACAACTTAGGAGAGTCAGTCTTAGCTCCCAGCTGGTCTCTAAGGGAGGAGGATGACAAGTACATAGCATGTGCTTACAGCTTTCCCTTTTCAGTYTCCCGGCAGCAGCACCTACACTATGGAGAAATGCTAGGTTCTCCTTCTAAAATGCTGGTTTATCTCCATTCTGCCTCACTAAACAGTGCCCAAACACATGGTTGGACCCACAGAGTTGTGGTGGATGGAATTGTTGGGAGCTGGTCCCATGTGATTATCACTCAGTACTGGGCCCCTCACGACAAGAAAGGCATTGAGGTGCTGGAGTGTGTCCAGAGAAGAGAGCAGAGCTGGTGAAGCATCTGGAGCATGATTCTAATGAAGAGTGGCTGAGAGCAATGGGATTGTTGAGCCTGGAGAAAAGGCACCTACAGTAAATTATCCTGTTGTGCAGACATTCTCTGGGTTCCTAAATTTCATACACCTATAACASCCATATAAAATATCCATCTCTTACTGATCTCTTTATAACGAGAACCAGAATGGAAATCTGGGCCATGCTCCTAGGAAACCAGATGGGTCCTCAGTAAGCACGAGATACCCACCTCAAACAAGTCAATACCCCTCTGTTTTCCTCCATCTGCTAAATGACTGGGTGTACCATTTAAGTTTACCATTGTTGGCAAAGCACTTTATAACACATTGATGAAAAACCTAATAAAAAGTGTCAACAGTTTCTTTATCCAAAAGTGGAATTTATCTAACTAGAATATGATGAAAGGTGAATGAGGAATCTCATTTAGTGTTTTCTCCATCACAGGTCAGCTTTAAAATCAGCTGCACTTTGAGTTCCAAATTAAAACCTCATTATAGTTAGCCTCCATTAAAAAAAAAAAAAAATTAGAAACCTAAAAATCACCGAATTGTGAAAATACAGGCATAATGAAGATCAAACCCATTATTTTTACAGTATTTAATCTCAAAAATTCTCTAACAGCAACACACACATGAAAATTATGACACCTTCAGTCATGGGAATCTTTGGGAAATATGAAACCTCTAATGAAAAGTTCAGCAATAAGAAAAGAATTGGGAAAAATTACACAGAACCAAAAMCCATTGATTTTTGCTATGCAATAACTACAGCCTGAAAATAAAAAGTCTGAAATATTGAACCAACTGTCTTTCTCTGTGATATCATTCCTGTCCCCAGTAGTTCTCAGAACTGTCCCTTGGGGCAAGGAGGATGCCTACAAATATGAACAATTAAAAACATAAATACTGCTGAATAAAGCTGAATAATACTGAATACCAGCTTACTGAGTCAGTCTCCAGGCACAAGTGTCTTCTAACAGCTYTTTCACAGAGAACCTTCTTCGGTCATCTCCACTCTGTGGAAGACAGGTGTACAGTGACATAGATTATTCTGATGAGAAGAACATATATTGGAGAAATTTATATGGTATTTTCCAAAGTCAGCATGGTCTCAATGGTTGCTCAGGATGCTTGGATCTAAAATTTTACTTGGTGAATATTTTATGTTACACTGGATGGTAATACATAGGTACCAGTGCAGACAAGAGTATTCAGGAAAACAAGCTAGGTGTACTTAGAAATAGAACTTTAAATTAGATTCAGTGGGGGAACAGGATGTGCTTGAATCCAGGCAGGAAGCAGCATATTCCAGTGCCCTGYCTGCACAGGAGACATGATGAAGGCAGACCACATGGCCTACAGCATGCATCAATTCTGCTTTGGTTTCATACTGAGGTAGGCCAGAGGGAGAGATGATGCAGAGTTAGAGCTGAGCTGCACGGGCTTTGTCWCTTGAGGCACCTGGGTATTTCTTCCACCAGCTTTTGTAGTGCCAGAAAATAGGGTAATTTATTAGCACATCAACAGTAAGTGGGTGTACAAAGAAAACATCTTTATTGATGAAGATGRTCCCCTGGCAAATAGGTGTAATGAAAAAGCAGAGGCATTCACTGCTTGCTTTGCCTCAGCCTTTAATAAACTTTGGGSTCTCCAGTCCTCTGTGCTGGAAGAGCACAACCACAGCAACAGCGACCTTCCCTTGTGGCCACTGGAATTGTAAGGGGTCAGCTGCAGAGGCTGAATGTTCTTAAACCCACAGAGCCTTGGAGGGATTCATCCTGGAGTACTAAAGGAAGGGAAAGCAGTAGGAAAGAAAAGAACACAGTTAATTTGCCAGGGACTTAGGGCGATTGTCTAGTTTGACTGCTGGATTATGACATCACCAATTATTGATCCAATTTGATGATGGATTCACCTAGCGATAGGTTATAATGTCACAGATGACCCAGCATTCTGTGCCAGCCCAGAGCCCAGGATTTTTCCCAGCCCCAGCACATTCAGGCAGTGTGAGTGCCCAGGAGGAGCACTCTCAGGAGCAGAGGTTGAATGGGAGTGGAAATGTCCCCCTGGGCAGCTGGGAGGTTTTCCTTCTGAAGGATCCAAGCACTTCCACCACTCCCCCAGGGCAGCCTCTGTTCCATTGCTTGTGTGACACGCCGGTGAGAGGGAGCAGCTCCACATCCCGAGCGAGCCCCTCTGCCAGACGAACTCCAGCACCCTGCTCATCTCTCTTGGCAGGACATGGCGTCCACTGCCAGAGAAGACACGGGGCAGAGCAGCTCCRCTGCAAGCGACGGCAGCCTGAGGCAGCACCCCATGGCAGCAGCGCTGGAGGCAGACTCGCAGTGCCCCATCTGCCTGGGGCCCATGAAGAGGCCGGCCTACGTCACCTACTGCATGCACAAGTTCTGCTTCAGGTGCATCCTGCAGTGGGCCCGGGCCAGGGACAACTGCCCCGTGTGCCGGCAGCCCATGCAGCAGCTGCTGTACGCCGTGCGCGGGGACAGCGACTACAAGGAGTGCATGGTGGGCCCGGCCGCCCGCCTCAGGAGGATGGCCACGGACAGGGGCTTCCAGCCGGTCACCGCCGTGATGCTGCGGATGATGCAGGCGGTGCACGAGCAGCAGCGCCTGGCCGGCAGGAGCAGGCCCATGGAGGCCGATGGTGTCCAGAGGAGAGAAGYGGCTGCAGGGCCCTCCGCCGCCCGCTCCCGGCTGCCTCCCGCCGCCTCACACGACATGGCCCCGCTGAGGGACGGCGAGCACGCGGCTTGCCCCGCTGCTCCTCTGGAACCACAAAATGGCACTGAATGACTTTGGCTTCTCAGCATCCCCACTTCTACTGCATCCAATAAACTGCATGGTCCTTTTCAGTATGTGCGGTTTGATAACTGAAGAATGTTTCTAAATCCACAAGGCCTTGGTGGGATTCATTCCAGGGCACTGAAGGAGCTAGCAGATCTCATGGCTGGATCCCCTCAGTCCTCTACCAAAGGTCTTGGCAGTTTGAGGAGGTTCCAGCTGACTGGAAGCCAGTCAATGYCATCCCAATTTACAAGAGGGGCACAAGGAAATAGAACAAGATGGAATGGAATGCAATGGAAGGGAAAGAGAACAGTTTAGGTGGTGGGGACCTACAGTTTTCATGCAGTCCAACTATCTCACCTCCTGAGGGCTGACCAAGATTTAAACCCCATTATGAAGCACATGGTCCAAATGTGTCTTTCTAAGGGACTGATAGACACAAGGCATCAGCTACCTTTCTGGGAACMCATTGTTTGACCTACCAGATGCAAAGAATCCCATATGTGTGACTGATAGGATCCAAAGAAGATTTGAAGGACTACAGCAACAGGTGGGTGTACATGAATTATTTAGTATCTGATTACATATGGTTCATTATTATATACAAGATATGTCAAGATATTTATGTTTCTATGACACTGATTAACCACAAACCTAGTGGAGATTTCTATAATGAAACATATTCCATATCTCAAAATTTAGAAGGATCATTTCGATCAGAAAAATTCCCCAAGAGCATATTATTTCACAAAAATAAAAAGCAGCTGCATAACTTTCTGAGACAGCAGAAGAATCCCAAAAATCTCGAAGTTTTCTGCCTATTTTGTTTTCCAAAAGCCTAGTTTTTTACATCTTTTTATATGAATTCTGAGGGAAGGAAATTTATTTTCTGTAACCTGACTCTAAGTCTGTGACTTTCCAATTCATTTTACAGCCACATGTTTTACATAAAAACAACAAAATTAACTGTGAGCTCAGTATAGACTGCGTCAGATCCTCAAATTCAGTGTGACTGGAGCAGGTTTCAGTGTATCTAAAGAAACGTACAGAACGAAGTCCAGAGTGAAAGAAACACCGCAGCTTTCAGCCCACTGTATCTGACTTCTCTGTTAGGCTTTTTTCTGGTCCTGACAGACTGGCTGGCACTCCTGCCTGCAGGCAGAGCCTCTCCTTTCTGTACYAGTGCTCTGTCCAAGCATGCCCTGGAGCTGGGGAAAGCTCTGTGTCTGTGGCTTATTCCACCTCAAGAGCTGCTCRTGCTCTCTGCTATTATTAGCAAAATGAAGTAACTTCATGGCCTGAAGCTTTTCAGAGCTGTGTCTGTTACTGGAAAGGGATGATCAATAATTCACATAAGGAGATTGTAAAATTCCACCCTTCCTGCTTTAACCTTATTGTAAGGTCCACAAATTCTTTGGACGCTGAATGTTTTCTGATGGRCTGAACTACAAAATCCCTTTAGAAAGTCACAAATATTTAAATAATGGAAGAGTCTCCACCTTCTTATGTTAATTATGTTAATCAGAATGTTAATGCTCAGCTCATTATGTCTGGCAAAATATTAACACTGATACGCTTGAAAATAAAAGGTTTCTGAATTCTCAGGAAATATCACTTCCTATCTGCTTTAGTTCAAAAGTCCTTTTCTGGAGGCAAGTAAGGCTCTCTTTAGAAACCTAGTAATCTTTGTTGTCTCTCCACTACAAAGATTAACACTTTCCTGAGATAATCAAAATGTGGGGCAACTCTGAAAAACATTGACCTCTTGGAAAGACAGCATTCCCTGGAATTTCAAAGTGTTAAGGCTGATAAATCTCATGTCTCAAAAAAMCCAAAATTAATTAAAGGTCATCAACAAGCTGAAAGAACTGTGATTCCATGTAAAGCCCCTGGCCAAATTTCTTGCTTATAACTGCTCAGCTGAAGAAAATTTCCTGCTCTGAATACTTCACAGTAGAATGCCTGCTTCCCACAACAGGAAAGAAAGCAAGTATTCACCTTAAAATATTTTATTTTCTTTTACAAAGGAATTGGGAACATTTAGTTATTTGCTAAAGTTCAAAAGGTGTCTAGTGAAAAAAAAAAGTTGCTCATTACTTGATAGTATCCATTTATATTGGTTATTAAACATAATAGTGACTTGCATGTGTAGACAGGTATTTTTAACTATGCAACTCAAATTCAACAGTGTTATGTAAGGTAAGCAAACGTCATGAAGGTAGCCTCCAGATATAGAGTTGGTGTAGAGTTTGGCTTCCCTAGCACAGAACCAAGCTTTGAAGGTTCAGAAGAGACTCTTAAAAATATCATTTGGTTCCAGTTTTGAGTATTTATAGTGGTAGGCGCTGACCCAGAGAAGTTAAATGACTTTTTGATCTACAAACTGTTTAAGATGTTAAATATCTATACCTATTTATATCTAAATACATATTATACTTGACCTCACTATAGTCCCTTTTTTATGGTCCAGGTAAGATACTGTWCTGAACTTAATTTTTCACTTATGCTTTCCTTCTGACAAAAGAGACAGGAAAAGAAAACCTCTACCCTTTTCTTGCTAGACATCTATCATCTGATCCATATATTGACAGACTTGGGCTATTGTCAGACCTAAGCAAAGCAGGTAATTGGTACTGTCTGTGAACAGAGACAACACACTGCCCAGAGCAGAGCTTCGGCTGGACTGCMAACTTTGGGCTGGAAGGAAACCACAAGTATGAGTTCTCTGATCACCTGAAATAAAACAGCCTTTAATTCTGACAAAACTGATTATTCTCCTGAAAAAGTAACCCTTGGTCTTTTTCAGTCATCTGTTCTYTACAGTTGCTCACTAGATGGAAGTACAGGAGTAAAGCACAGATGGTCCCCAGGACATTTCAGCCACAGTTCAGCAATAATATATGCATTCTCAGGAAAGCAAATAATCTCTCTGATTATCACTGCAGGTTGGTATTAAAAAGATTGGCAATTCTTTTTTTCTTCAGCAAAAAGAAAGAGAAAGAAATAAAGGGTACTTACTGTTCGAGCCAAATTTTGCTTCAAACTACCACTGCAGTGTAGTCGAAGCTGAATGCAGGTGGTTGCCTTGCGAAGACTTTCATGGCTTCCCAAGGTACAGCTGCTGCAGTTTGGGGGAAAACAAGCAAATAAATGGTTATCTCTGCTTGCTATTTCATTCTTTTTAACCTGCTTCCTCTCCTAAAAGCACTAAATTCTGAGTGCAAAGAAGATTGAATAATACAAAACCTGTATTTGGCACCTACTTCTATGAAAATTGATGGGGTTTGGTTCTGGCTTGTTTTCTAGCACAATTAAATATTAATTGCTTAATTTATCATTGACCAATAAGTTCTGTAACAGAACAACAAGGACACAGAGAAAGAATATCCTTATGGAACTGCACATGCTCCYAAACCTTGAGAATTTTTTATGCGTATTATTCAAACCTAAATTAGTTCAATTTAGACTAAGTATCCTGGCTATAAATGCACTGCTGCAGAATGATGTATAGTATCTGATACCCAACTTGAAAATCAAATATTAGCTGGAAGTTTGAAAATCATGAACATCAGGTCAGGTGACCTTTCATTCTCAAAGACATCGAAGTTCTCACCCTGTGCAGCTCACACAGAGGTGGTAAAAGCAGCACTGAAAAATCATATACAAGCTAAGATCAGACTCAGTTGGAGTGGTTCCTACAAACTAAACTGCTGGTCAAGGATGATCCAGCAGCCCATGACAGGGGAATTCCTTAATCTTATTTGCTTCTTTTCCTTTATCACTCATGGCAACTTCTTTGAAGTTATAACACAGATTTGGTTTGTCGCTCTGAAAATTACTTGGAACAAAAACAGTTTCATTTTTTCCCCCCTTCACATCTTGTTTTAAACAGGTGAAATAGTTAAAAAATTATTTCAGAGTTAAAGGAAACACATTTTTACATCTGAAAAAAAAATCCTTTGGGATTAATAGGTAGGAAATACAACCAGGATTTTTGCAAAGGTAACTTAATCACCAAAAAACGTTAGTGTGCATCAACAGTACAGCTCTGGTGTGTGTTCAATTAGATTCAGGAGGCTTTATTGAGCCTTCAGCCACAGAAGCACAAAAAGGGAAATTCCATATTTATATGGTTTTACAACACGTAAGTTGTTTCAGAATTCCCTGGACCATGAAGGAAAGATGATTCTTTTTTTGTTTGTCAAGGGTCACGAAGAACTCAGAATTCAAAAGTAAAACATATTTCTATCTAAAAGGGCTTTTTGATGGAATGTCTGAATAAAAATGGCTGGTTTTAGTTAAAAAAACAACCTAAAACAAAACCAAAATGCTCTTCTATGAAGAAATCATGGAAAGGGTGACTTAGATGAGACTGGTATCTCACATGGCAGCAGAAGTCAGTCCTCAGCACAAATGAATAGACAAATGTGATTGCCATTCAGTGCAATTTCAATTCTACATCTTGTAAACACTCTGCACTCACACTACACTGTAGTTAAGTAAAATGCAGATTCTCCATTTGAGGTAACAAAAGGTGTAGTGTATACATAGGATTTTTTTTTTAAATAAACCTATCAAACATCACAAGAGAAAAAGTAATTTCCATCTGATAAAATAAATACCTATAGCAAGGATCGCCTCTAATAGCACTTCCATACATTTGCAAAATTTCTTGATTTCAAGAGCATGAAGTACAGATGTAATTGGCAGAAGTGAATACCACCACAGTGAAATACCTGTATTGGTGAGAAGCGTATCACTGTTATAGCTAAACCCTTCTCAAATCCTTTTCCAAAGAAAAAGTCCAAGTCACTAATTCCAAGTTCCTGGGACTGTTAGCAATGCATACATTCTCTTCTGTTGCTCCTCAGCTCATCTCTGTGTTCTGCCTACCCACAGCTTTCCTGGAAATCCTTCCTCTCCTCATTTCGCTTACTCATGTCTGTCTCATGACTGTAATGGTGAAGTCCATCGTGATTTTCATCCTTTGGCTAAGGAATACATTTAGTGCAGTGCAAGCTGCAGATTGTGCTCCGGGTGGTGGGAAAGGGCAGCACCCCAGACAAGAGGCCATGAACTGGCAGACTCTTCACAACAAAGGGAGTGTGACTCGGAAACTTCCGTAACACTTTAGAATTCCCTCAACATGTATTTTTTTACCATGTACTTCACCATTACTCCTGCTCTTTTCATTCTGCCTCACTATCAGCCTTTGGATAGGCACGGACACAAGAATATTACAGAGAGACACATCAGAGTCCTGAGTCACCTTTTCCTGATTACACAGTTTCCTACTGCAATGCCAGTGATAGAATTGGTATAGCTGTATCACTGTTGATATAGCTGTATCACTGATGAGCTGTGATACCTCACAGAGGAACCATACCCTCCTATGAAGTAACAATCTTGAACCACAGATGTATAAAATTCATCTTTTCTGAGTATAATTTTTCCATGTCCCTGTGCTTGCAGGCAAAACAAGTACACCAAGAAAAGCTGAATTTTGTGATTATAACTACACTTACAYTAGTGGTTTGTGCTAGTTCTGCTGTGCCAAGCAGATAGTATCCATCAGCAAAGCCTTTATTGACACAGCAGTGCTGCCTGAAATACTGCAGTTGACTTCATGAATGGATTTAACGTGCATAAATACAAAGAGAAAAGTTTTCACTGCTGTTGTTACATAAGAGACTAGGCAAAATGGGTTAATGCCTCAACAAAAAAATGTGGAAACTTGGTCTAGATGAAAAGTGAACTACAAAGAAACAGAAGCTGAGTTTTGCCACAGATTGACAAACTACCTTTTAGCTGTAGGCCAGGCAGATTTGCTACCATCCCAGTACTACTAAGACAAAAGTAATGTAACCCTTTTGGAAGATAACATRATTATTAGTAACTGGTTTACAGTGCTCTGAGCTCTGTAAGGGAAACAAAAATGAAAGAGTTACAACCTTATTAACTCAACAGTTTCCCCTTATTTTCTTCTGAAATTACAAGGACAATATAGCTTTGATGAGAATGCCATGAAGAGAAATACAGTTTTTGTTTTTAGGAGACATGGTAAATGACTGGTCCAAAATATCACAAAATTATCTAAATATAARGAAGAGAAAATACCTGTCTCTTGAGACTGCCTCCCTGCTTGCTTCCCCACAGCAAGTTGCTCTGATGTGYTACAAGTTCCAAATCCTAACACAGTTCAATCAGACTATTTTTTTTAAGTAACTCAGCTAAGTAGCATCTCTGAATGAGAAACTTAATCTGTAGCGACAAGAGAAAATTAAGTTTATTTTTCAGAAAGAACATATTCATCCAAAGGTGCTTTCTTCTTATGATTTCAATCTGCATGATTATGTCTCTGTCAGTCTATAATTAATAGCTTAGACTTCAGTTTGAGTGAAAACCAATTTTTATTTCGGATTCAATTACCAGAGAACAGAATTAGTAAGACAAAAAAAATGTCACCAATAAGGTCACAGGCARGCATGTTAGAAGAAAAGAAAAAAAGATAAGCATTTAGATTTTTCAATTCCATCCCCCTGCTCACTGTGGTGGCTGAACTGCAAAGCAATAAGGTAACTGTGAAAATTATATCATCTGAGAGTGTGGATAGAGCTTTAAATACTCTGATGCCTTAGAATAAAAGGATGTTTAAAAATAAAGCTTGTAAGTATTCTTGTACTACATTTCATTGCTCATTTACATTACTGCAACCTATTGCTAGCACATAAATCAATTTAAAAATACAGAAATTTTTTAAAGGTCCTTATTCTTATATACACTCATGTGTTTTGTTGTATTTCTCAAGGATGCCCTGAGATTATAGCCTGYTTTTCTAAAAATGGAGGATTGATTCATTGCTGACTCATGAGAAGGRTTGGTTTTGGCATTAAGAGCAAGAAGTTATTTGATAAATTATGTGTAAACACCTTGTAATTTACTTTTATGTAATATTTTTTCATGAAAGGCATTATCAAGTCATTTTTAGGGGTAGCCATTCTAAATATAAGGAAAGACAGGGAAGTGTGAGAGTAAAATCTAGAAGGTTTGAGTGATGGGATGAAAATGAGAGCCTGCARGTTGCAGCAAGGCCAGGTTTCCTGTACTACACACAATGAACTCAAAAACTAGAAACTAAATGAGATTCCAAATTAGAATTCCACAGATGGCTCTGTTAATTACAGACTGACCTGCAGTCTATATGCTACCTTCTGATACTTTTAAAATTTGGGTATTTCAAATCTGATATTCTACTTATGAGTCAGGCAGGATGTAAGCTCAAGGACCTCTATGTAGGAAGGGAATAATGGACAATGAAATCTACTGGTGCTGAGTGTAATGGTCATTAGCATAGAGGGTTGTTTTGTTGGGKTTTTTTTTCCATTTCATTGAAAGCTAAATGGATTCTAAAAATCATCAAGTCTTTCAGGTGCTTCTGCAGGAGGTGGRGTGAAGTGCTCATTAATACAATCCGATATAACAGTAAATGAAAGCTTCTGACAGATGTTCACAAAGCTGTCTGCTTCACTAAACCACTCTGGTCTGAGAMCATTTCATCAAATCACCATTTTGCATTCATTTTGGCTTTTTTTTTTTCTGAGTTACAATACAGCAGGAGCAGCAGAGTATTTATTCCCTTTGCTGTCTCAGAACTTGGGGAACTTCTACTGGAATTCATCCGTGAACAGACTCCAAATACTTTTCTRGGGAAGAACTCCGTACAAGTCCATCAAATCATTCTGTTAGCAAYATTGGGAGGAAACCAATTTACACTTAAAGATAGCCCTCACATAYGAAAAGTTTCACCCTGAGGCAACTCCTCAGGCCATGTTAAACTACCCRAGGGATTCTTATGGTCTGGGGTTTCAAATTTCAGTTGCAGGGCTCTGTTGAAGAGGCAGAAGAAAGGGAGCTGAATTTAACAGCACAATATAAAATTACAAGCTGCTGAAGTTCGAAGTACAGCTCAGTACTTTCAGCACACAGTGAAGGTGCAGAGTAAGAAAGCTGAGAACATTATTGACCTTKTTTCACTGCTAATGAGACATGCAGAGATTCTCCAAGTGCAGGAATTCACTCTGCTATTGATGCATTCTCTCCAACAACGAAAACAAAACTCTTTAGCATGAGCTCACACTGAGCTYACCTTCAGTACAATGGCTCATTATTTCAATTTTTTTAGCAATTACTTTGAAATCAGAAGAGCATCTTGAAAAAAAAAAAAAATTAAAAGCCCCAGCCTCCTTCTGTAACTAACAGATCTATGTATGACCTGCTTCCCTGCTTAGCGTTTCTGGAGTTCTAATGATTAACACAGCATTCTGCTGTTCCAGCTTCTGTTTTACTGAGATTGGGATGAGAGAAGAGTGGGCTCAGCGATGTTGAAGAGGCAATYTTGGCATCTTTAGTTGCCAAATGTAATTCACTATAAACATCTGAATATTTGGCCCGAGCCTGTGTAAGAGYAGAAGTGCTCAAGCTGGATCCAGAACAAAGCTAACTTAGTGTGACACTTGCTCTCATAACTATGTACTTCCATAAATCAAACTAACTTGCTCTAGGCTTGCTTCAGGTAATTTTTGCACTCTAAACATCACTGCTTCTAAAATCTTCTCTTTCAATTACGGACATATACTATTTTATCTAATACTTTTTGCACCTCTAACAAATTAGCTGTGACTCCTGCAGTGCCAGTTTAACATGGTATCACCAAGCAGTGCCAACTTCACCCCTTCTGCTGAAAGTCAGTGCCTACACAGCATGGCTGACAAGTGCCTGCACTTTAACTGCTTCAACACAAAATCTGCTCACTTTTGCTGACACCTGAGTTTAAGCTGCCAGAGGGCAAAAAAACAACTATCTGAGTCCAGTAGTGCTTTCAACCACCACAAATGCTTACCTGGATTAATGTGAATCAGGGCATTTACTTCCCTACTGGCAGACTACATGCATTCAGAAAGACCTGCTCATATGTATAATGTGCTCTTCTTTAACTGCCATTCAGCACCAMGGTGCTGACTTCACTTGTTTTGATACTACTGCAACTGGATATGAAGAAAAATCACCTGCTGTGCAGCTGCATAATACTGTTTCTCCTCTCTTTGGTGATTCCTTTGAGGTTTTCTTGTAACACCCCTATGAGATTGTGGAAGTAGCAGCATCCTTGTATTACAGGTGAGAACGCCCAGAAGGACAGCAGAGTGAAATTATTAAAGGCTGCACAAAGCTCACATAAAAGAGTCAGGAGCTGCATCCTTACACTGGAGCACAACATTCTCTCTGCAGAATACAAGTGCCTCGTGTTTCAGGAGTTTCAGAAACTCCACATGAAGTGTTTGGAACCTAATGCCCTACCTCTCCCCGTGGTTCTGTTTACATGGCTCGAGGCTTAATGAGGTACTTACTTTTGTAGGAATTCATCAGACCCATAAACACTCAGAAGGCATTCCTCCTGGGCTGGGTATTGATTTGTGYAACGGAGGATCTCTACAATTAAGTYGTGAGTGATACAGCCAGCTGTAAATAAAGATAGCAAGGAAAATTAATAGGAGCTTGATGGAGAACTCCAGATTACATACTTGAGCAAGGAAARTAAGGGATTTTTTTCTGTAATTCCTAACAACTGCTGCAGACTAGCTCCATCAAGAGGAATTAGATCAAGACACACTTGATTTTATTATTTTTTAAAATTTTGCTTTAAATATTCTATGTGACATGGAATCCATGTCCATTTAGAGGAAATGAGCAATTTGTTGGGCAGCTAGAATGAAGAAGAGATGAGCAGCACTCCCAGGAGGAAAGGAAGAGACAAATGGCAATGTAAAAGATTTTTTTTTTTCATTTTCCTGATGAATATTTTGGTACACTTCCAATGATGCAAAAATTGACTCTSTAGCCACTTATGACACAAGAAGGCTCCAGAATTTTAATTGGCATTGTTTCTGCTGTGCACACCTTTTTAGCCATAACAAAGAAGTAAATTAATACTCTAATGTATTTTATATAAATGCAATATATTGTATTAATATAATTTAATACATGTATAGACATACAGTAGTGTAAAAATGTATATAATCCCTATAAATTAGGAAGTTCTATGTCAGTTTGTACAATCTACTGTTCAGAAATAATTWTAGCATTTTGAGAATTTTCTCCAGTTCTACTTCAGCTTTTTAAGGCATTTTCCAACACTTGCCAATACACTTCTTCTCTGTCCATTTTAGAAGAACTGAGCAAAAATGGAAAAGAATAGTAGTATAATCTAAAAATATGTCTGATAACTGTGCTCCTATGTTTAAGGGGATGGGGAAGCTTTAGAGAACAACCGACATTTCTAGGCAAGGCGTTATGACAGAAAAAAAGCTGAAATAAAAGAGTAGGTTACCGTAGCTTGCCTTTTGCTTTGCTTTGGTTTTCCCCAGAGAAAAATGAATGCATGAATGGATTCAAAAGCTCCTTCTGAAGATTTTMATTTTCTTTGCAAGACTGGTTTGTTGGTTTTCTTTTTTCTAAAAAAGCCACTTCAATTACACATTTTCTACTGGTTTTACCAGTTTYAAACATTTCGCCTTCTGAGAACTCATCATTTTAAGCAACTCCTCATAGCTGGTTTGACAGATAAACTACAGTGCTTGTTGGCTAAATTTACACAGACCAGAAAATGAAAACTGGCACAGCATCTTGAATTAAAATGTAACATGTACTTTTTTGGGGTCACTCACTGAAAAAAAAAAAAATCTGAAACTTGCTAGTATCACGCATTTGCTCTCTATAGACCCATTTTCCTTTCCTTGATCTGCCAAATGTTATTGCCTAACTTCTTCATATTAGGTGGGGCAAAAAAGAGTACTCTCTTACCCAACTTTAAACTTATTGCTTACCTAGTCTAAGCAAGTTAGGATAACTAATAAACAGCCTGTTACAGTCAAATAATTCCTTGACAACTGAAAAAAATTATTCATGAAAAAAAAGAGTAAAAAAACCCTATCACTTAATGAAGCAGCACAGAAGAGAKGGGGAATAAGATTGAATTGCTTTTATTTTTGCATATGTTGCAGAAATAAAAATTACTAGATTTGGAATTAAAGACTCTCCCATTAATCACAGATGCAGGATGCACCAGAGCAGTGGCAGCTTCTCACAGTCATTAATGACAGAATAATTCAGGTTGGGAAGAACCTCTTCCCCTGCAAAGATGGGTTAACAATGAATTCAGATCACCTTGTTCAGAGTTTTGTCTTACAACACCTTAAAAATCTCCAAGCCCGGAGACCCCACAAACTTCATGGGCAAACTGTTCCAATTCTTAAACATTCTCCTTTATTCTTTCCATCTACTTGAAAGTTCTTCTTTTATTTTATGACTGAAGTGCTTCCCCAGACCTGTGTATAACCTCAATCACTTACCACATTGTGTGAGAAGTAGAGGATGTGGTGAAAAGTCTGTCCAAATGCTGAATCTGAATTTTGTTCCACCCAGGATATGCTCTGGGAACCTTGTTGCGATACTCCAGATTTTCCCAGTATTTGTCTTCAAATCAGAAGCAGGATAGGCATTTCTGATTCTGCAAAGAATACGTGAATAAACTGTGTCTAAGAAAGGTATGCATTTTTGGCCTTTTTTAAGAAGAAAACAAAAATTCTACAAGATACAAACGAAAATATGTATTGGTTAAAGGAATAAAATTTTGTGGAGAGAAGTGTTAGCAACTCAAACTCTGTTTTCATACATTAGTGAGATGCCAGATAGCACACATAACTACATCTGTTACTTTTAGGGAAACCTAGAATCAGCAAAATCTTCATGAAATTGACAGAATCACTGCTGAGCTTTCACCTCAGTGAAACCAAAAGGAGTTTAAACAGAGACTTCAGTGTACACTGAGCTCAGTAGAAATAATAGTGCTCAAATATGTACTTAAATAACAGAGTTTTAACATAGAACTAACCAAGTGCACATGCACAGACAGCTGCAGCTAGGACATCTGGTAMAAATGAATACAGGAACATGCTTCCTATGCAAAATCTTAAGAAGTGTCTATTTCCACAACTCTCTCAAATCCTCATCATCAAAACCCTGGGTATTTATGTAAAAGTCTGTAGAGTGCTGTAAAGGTTACAGTCATTGAGTCCCTCTGATATACCATTAACTATAAAATACCTTGCCCCTCCCTTCCAATTACCATAGACTTGCAGAAACTAACTCTTCCTGAGGTCCCATTTCCTAACGAACACTGGTCACAGGTATTATGTCTGTCATCTGGGATTAAACTTGCTTTTTAAGCAAATTCACTCTGCAGCTGCAGGTAAGGAGACATATTGTACCAGCTGAATCTTTACATGTCACTAATTGGCCTGAACAGCAGCTAAACCCAAACATCCTGAACTAAGCATCCTGTGTTCTCTTTTGTTTGTCAGTTCAAGCAGCATTTTGTAGCTTCTGAGTTGGGAGTGCTTAAATAATGTCTCTGGTAAGTGTATTGTGAACCCCAGCCCTCTCACATAAAAGTCTTCATTACTGTGTTACCTCCAGCCTCAGAGCAGCTGCCCAAGTCTCTTAAACAACCATGTGAACTACTCTTTGGTGCCGTGTGTTTCTACAGCAAGAGGAGGAAAAAAAAAAAAAAAAAAAAAAGCCTAGGCTTCCAAAATTAATAATCCTGTGAAGCAGGCCATTTCTTATAATGAAAAGCCAGGGGGCTTGGTGCTTCAGTGGGGCGAGAGGAAATGAGGCTTGACAAGGGTACCTACAGTACAAGGTAGATTTATACCCATGGTTAGAAACCATTATGCTACAGAGGCTGTTTGGGTGACCTATGTAGTTGGTGTCAGTCTATTTTCTTTGTGCTTTCCCTCTGTGACATGTTTCTGCAAGAAAGCCAAGGACTGAATAAAACTGGAAACTTCACTACCCTTTATCCAGCATCAAATTACCAGGCTATGTACACATTCAGGGCATGAATCAACTTACTGGCAGTCATTTCAACACTAAGCAAACGTCATCGCCTTCCCTACCCACATGCTGCTTATATTTTAACAAAATATGGGGACAGAAATTTGGTTTTTATGCTTTTCAGATAAAAAAAGCATTTAGTTTCTGAAAGTGTTGCTCATTTATGGCCATCTACCATCTTCACATGAATAGAGGGCTTCTGATCTGAGCAGATGGGCAAAACATTGCAAAACTTTGTTCAGGTCTTCCAAAGTGTATTTGAACTATTATAAAAGTATGACACTAAGAAAAGCTTGCCCTACTTGATTTCTGTGCTGCAACAACTCAGTGTGTTCAGAAAGTACTGACATTTATAGGGATTTGCTATTTCACAGCATTTCATAACATGATGTGTTTCTCTGCAGTGCAAAGTACATCCTGGAAGACAGTGAGAGGTAGAGAAACTCTGCATTTTGCAGCACTGAACTCTGAGACTGTCAGCTTGGCATCTTCTGGTCTGAATCTTGCTTTAGGATGCATTCTGAAGCCACCCATGGATGACTGCTCACTCTGTTCATAATTGTAGAAGTAACCTGAGAAAGGGCTTTTGAAAGCTGATTTACAGTCGTGTACAACCAAATGTTTCAATTATAGACTGCTACCTGTACAAGTATCACCTAGAGACAAACAGGATGGGTTTCTGTTTGAGCTACAAGCTGGAGCTGCAAGAATGCATGACACAGAGCCTGAATTATGCATCCTGCCTCTGACATATGAAACTGCCAGCAATTGAGATTCACTGGTGACTGGAAGGATGCTCATTTGGCAAGACTGAATACGTAAGTTATTTGAAAATTTATGACATCTTCTGGTTGCTGTGATATTTTTTTCCTAAAAGTCTTTTCTACTTATTTAATAAAAGAAAAGCAAAAGCTGTTCTTATTTTCTTTTTAAGAGCACTTGCTTGTGACACACACAAAACAAGCTCCTGCRAAACAGGAATGGCTTATTCATATTTATCTTTTTAGCTCTGTAGATAAACTCATCTATTCAAAAATCAATAGAAAGCTTTTCCCATAATTAGAATGTTTAGACATTAAAAAAATCTGAATAGCTAGGAGGAAAGCTGTCATGTGGAATGTGCTTTCATGCATCTCATAGTAGAAGAATTTGGTTGGGGCTCAGCCTGATGAATCGTGGAAAAGGAAACTGAGACATGTGACTGAATATGTTTCAGAGCTGACCATTCACCCCATATGAATTTATAATACAGTTACTCTTAATTTCAGTGCAACATCAAACTGGGGTTTTTTT